GCGGCGTTGAACGGATGTGTACTTGGCACAAAGTTGCGGCCAAGTCATCAGCGATCTGCATGTCGCGTAAGCTCTTCAAGCGGAAACGACATTGCCATGTAATCAAATATCACTATTGATGCCTCGGGGCTGGTATGGGGCTAGCACACTAGTGCCACAAGTAGAACGTCCAATTGGTATATATCCTTGTGTCTGCACAGTACTGATCGGTCAAGGATCAAAAATTATGTTCCGTCGAGTCTTTCCCAATGGCAGACGTGCTTGACGATCCCGCAGATACAGTCTGGATTATCGAATCAAGGTAGTTGGCTCCGCTCCTGTATCGTAAACGTGAACAACATATCGGGGGCAGAACTTGGAAAGGACACTAACCACTTTTGATGGGTGAGAACATCACAGCCGATTTCCTTCTCCTTGCGTTGCACAAGTTCCACATAAGCAAGCATGCCGTCATCCTTAAATCGTGCAGCAAGCTCGGCTGGGTGGACATCCAGTAAGCGTCGCGGTGTTAGCATTCAGGAGGAAACGTACCGGTAGCAGCAGCATTAGTGTGCAGCCCAGCAAGGGAAATTAGTGGCAAAACAAATCTAGGTTCATCAATGAGGCAATCACATCCAAGGTGAAATGCTATGTATCGCACCCTTCTTTTCCGAGTTCCCATATAAAGTTCTTGAGATCTGCGTCTGCTCAAGCCGTTTGCACTCTCAGACGAAGAACATTACTGTTGGGGAGTAACGTACCGCTAAACCCTGCCTGCGACCAGTTGAAGCTGGGACTTAGATTGTATACAAACCATTTGCCAGGGTATTTCTCCCGGATCTTTCTCGCAAAGGTTCTGGCCTCCGCTAAGTCTGGCTTACCGGTTTCCAGCCACAGCAAGTCTGCGTATGGTGCATACACAAGGGCACGGTCGATGGCTGCCTGAAGGCCACCAGTAGTTCGATAGAAGCCTTCAGGTGTGCGAGGGACTGCCAAAGATTAGTGAAGACCTCGAGGCGTTGACAATCGTACTCACGGTCCCAGTTCCAGTTAATATCCTGGCCAACAGCCTCCCGAGCAATCTGACGTGCTTGAAAGTTTGATTTACCGGCCACTGCCTTCTTGTACTGCTCGAACACGCCGCGTGGGTTCGAACTACTGCTAGACAATAGCACTCGTTCAATGGCTATGCCACATGCTCAATACGGCGAACAAAAGACGCTGAGGAATACGTGCCTTGATCGAAAGTGATTAATTCGTTTGATGAATCCCATTCATTCTCGATTCTGGCAGCATCCGCACTGTTTGTGGCTCGCGCAAGAGCTTCACTGAGAGGTTGCCCCTGCGTCGTAGTACCGAGGATATATCTAAGGTGAAGTGTTTTAGATCGATACTTGGTTCTATAATTAGGACTTACGGGTGATCAACAGGATCAATGCTGGTGGAAAGGAGCTTGCCACTTTCAGCATCAGTGCGGCCAATAAGCAACATCGGAGATAGAAGCATGTCAAGTTGGAAACGGGCCGCAACAAGCCGTGATACATGTGTGCTTGGGGGAACAATAACTTTCCCTGCAAGGTGTCCGCATTTCTTTCCGCCGTGAAGTTGGTCCTCGAAATGTACGGCTGAAGCACCTGACTCCGCGAAGAGCTTTGTGAGTTTCATAACGGCAGAGGTCCCTCCATGGCTAAGACGTTGTGAGTTACATATGAAGACCAAGTAAGGTGCCGTCTTTACCCAGTATCACCGTCCGCAACGATTGGTCGTAAATAGTCGATGTACGAAATCTCTGCACGCTTTTCTAGCAATGCGGACATACGTTCATCGTAATGCTTCCGGTCATGAAGTTGCTGCGCACGGAAGAGACGGTGAACTTGGTTTGGTACGGTTGTATAAGGGTAATCTCTAATACGATGTAGATGAGAAGAGCGCGAACATGCACATGATCCGGCGGTCATTACCCGAAATCAGGACCAACTTCATTATTGCCCGTAGTTAGCACTGAGCTTGCAGCCCAACCAGAAACGTATACGACTTGTTGATGCCTTGCCATTTGGGTCATTTGAACGGGGTCAATAGCACCCATGGTGGGCACAGGTTGACCATTAGAAGCTGCCTCGGTGAATAAGGCGAAGAGCTTGTTAGCAAGGAGTGTCGATGGCAGGGGAAGAACAGGCGCGGAACCCTGCTTTAGTGCTACATCATGAGCGGTATAGGGACGGGTGATAGAAGCAAATCGGGGGGAAGAAAAGAAAGCGGAGACGTCTTGAACGCGAGCATCGAAGGTAGCGCTTTGCTCGGCTAATGATGGCGGGTGAAGTGGCAGGGTAGGAACCGAAGACATCGGACGTGACAGGGTCCCTAGCCTAAGCACTCTGCCTGTCGGTGGACGAAGGAGAATCATTCGAACGGATGGTGTCGTGAGACGAGAACGTTAAGCGCTGACCGTTGTGTTCGGGAGGCCGAAACCTAGATTGAGGTTAGGGTTACAAATGGGGATGTATCGGCTTGAAGGCACGGTGCTGCGGTTATTCTCTTCTCTGAAGAAACTTCCATCACTTTACTAGACAACCAACTCACTACAACAGAAGCTGATTTTAATCTCCTGGCTGCATGACTCCTCAAGCTAATCCAGAATAGTCGATTGAAATGCGCCCCAAAAGTTCTGACTGGCGAGTCTTTTAGTTCGTGGTCGTCAGGTCTCCTCCATGATAGACTCGGAGAAGCAAGGTATTTCCAGTTGCTGATCTGTGTCTTCGAATCCCTTTCGCCCGAAGTATGATGTAGCCAGTGGTTCCTCCTTGTTCTCCCTCTGACTGGCACATTATGTGTCTAGTTCAAAACACCGTCTTACGATTGGGTGGGAACTTCACACAGTGCAAGTATTGTCTTGTGACCGTGTGTGTGGCGCTTCTACGATGTCGCATCTCGAAGAAGGAGATATGATGCTTTCATTGGATATTTGTTTTGCGTCCATTCAAATACTTCACCTCATGTCCCTTCCTCGAGGCTTTATATCCGCACACCGAACGCCGCATTTCAACTCGCAATCACAATTGTTCCCCTGGGTTTATATTCACCCACCACCACTTGCACGACTTGACTTGATCTCCCATGGAGTCCCCTCCCAGTTGCTTACGAGTCACTCGACTGTCACTCATACATGCTGTCCTTGCATATGTATCTCCAGAACTCACTACAATGTCATGTCTACCTCTCATGCTGCCCATCGAGATCCGCTTTCGTATCCTCACCCATCTACATCTCACACTTTCCGCCTCTTTACTCGGATCGCTCAATCACAGCTTACAGAGCGCCCTCGATGACCTTTGTGATAGCTGTAAAGCCTATAATCTTCGCGTCTACGGTCCAAACGTGTCAGACTGGCCTGAAATAAGGGTCACTGGCGGTTGCTGGTGCGCCAAAATCGGAGGGCACCAGCGGCCAGAGATCGCTCGTGCTCGTGATCGGTGGAACTCCGATGCATGCGTCGATGCCAAAATCCGCTCCCCATTAGCTGACTATGATCCGCCGCCCTACTTCATATTTCACTTGCGTCAAGTTGCCGCAACATATCTGTCAACTACCTCACCCTCGCTCTATACGCGTGAAATAGAGGCGATGCTAACATCGCGTGCCAGTGCCAAGGAGGTTGATGCTTTAGTCTGGAAGGTCCTGCGACACTTCCAATGCTGCGTCGCTCCTTCAAAAACGAGAGCATGGAAACTAGAAGACGAGCTTTGCATCATTCCCATCTCTGAAAGACCCTCCGAAGGCTCCTCGGATGATGAGATATTGTGCGCGCTCCAGCTTGCTCTAGACCTCAACCGGCACCGCGACTTTGTATCACATTCAAAGCTAAATCCTCGGAATATGATGCTCACTCCCCCCTTAATATCCAATTCCCCTGGTGAGGGCTTCACTTCGTTCCTGTTTGTTATGATGGCTGATTCATGTTTAGATTCGAAACGCTTATATTCAAATCCCAGGTCTAGAAATATCTCACTTATATGTGGTGTCGCCGTGGCCTGTGTGCTATTCGGCATCAGGTATAGTATTCTGGCTGCCTGGTAGTGATTCCCCTTCGCACACTCGCATATTCCATTTCCGCGCATACTTCGACATTCGGCTTCTCCAGGAACATGATGCCTTTTCTGCATTTCTGCAACTCCCGGAAGAGTTCTCCGTCTATACCGCGATCGCCTCTGCCCTGCATTCATTTTAAATTCAGTACCTTTCAATCTGCATGACCATCCACACTCTGTACGCATTTTTGGCAGCATATAAACCTTAGTTTACTTTTTCAGCATGCACAAACGGCGTCGATACCCATTTGACAATCACTCCGTTCTTACAATATGTAGATGACAATGGACAATAAGTTTACCAACAAGGGGACTTGGCGAGAAAACAATGTGTGCCGAGGCCCATCTAGACACTGATCATTGCTTTTCCATTTCTAATACCAGGGTCAATCGTTGTCTAACCCATTATCGCATGGTCATCCTATCGCCAGAGTTACTAGATGAGAACCTCGCTCTCTTGTCAGGGGAAAATCAATTAGATTGAGCATGAGCGAGACGCCGGGAGCGTACGACGAGATCTCGAGCGATGACTAATCCTAGCCTTACTCAGACAAAGGCGAGCGTACCCCTTATTCGCGTTCGCTTTGTCAGCCAACGCTTTCGGCTATCACCGACTTATCGTGTTTTCGTTCTCGCAAACCGTCTAAATCGTTTTGCATTACCTCCTCAGGCTGGATTTCACATCTTACCTTGTGTGCTAAATGAGTACTAGTTGGACTCGGTGATAACAGTTCAGAAGTACCGACTATCACGCAATGCGGCTGTCCCTTGGCGCACCACGTTCCCTGATAACTGCCATGGCCACGTACTTCTTTTAGTACAGGCTCCCTTTCTCAGCGCCTAATGTAATTAAGTCTATCGTACCGAACAACTGTTCAGCACGACTTGAACCTCAACCGCTTGTCCCCTCACCCCCCATATCCCCACTCCCGTCTCATGGTAGTGGAGAAGTCATTCAAACGTCGTGGAATGAGCTATCTGATCACGGAGATAAAACTTTTGGTAAGTGAACGTTTACTCCTCATTCATGCACATCTACTAATATCTTGTAGATATAACTTTCCCCCCTGTTCGTGATGTACACCTTCCATCGCGCTGAAGGCCGTTATTGTATATACTTGCGACAATGAGGATGGCGCACTGTCTGATGTGAGTGACGGCTGGCTCCTGTTGCCAGCTTTTACCGATGGAACCTGCAATGATTTTCAAGACATCGACTTCACCACTTCCCTCTTCCGCAAGCACGCAAACTCGGGTAAATGAGGATGCTGTGGAGGCCGTTAATCTGTGCCGGGAATCATTAAAGGCTTTGCCTTCACAGCACCCTGACATGTAAGCTATGTACGGCTTCAGAAAATCTACCTGTCTCGTTTCCAAGTGCAACACAACCTTACCGACCTATCACTCGCTGCAGATAACCTCAGATTGGCATCGAGACACCCTACTCAGGGGCTTTCCATACCGCATTATGACAGCCTGGAACTGGGTCACTGCAGCTGAGCGGCAGTCCTACATCTGTACTAGAGGCCTACAACAATTTCGACCCTATTTAGCAGCGATTATCAAATACGTTGCCAAAGCGTTGTACGAGAATATGTTCAAAGATTTGAAGGATGGTTGCTTCATGGACTGTACGAAGGCGGCATGGGCACACGCGGTAAAGACGAAAGTGCCACTCGAGCAGAGGATGTTCATTCATATCGGTGTGGTTCCTGCTGCATTGTTTTTATCTGGTACGATTTTACAAGTTCTTTATTTTTCATTCTCCATTGAACTTTGAATCGTACGAATTACCGTCTGTCATGTACTCTTATGTCATCTCGTTTCGTATTCGCTTTCGATCAAACACAGTTTAGCGACCAGTGCCAGCACTCCCTCGACATGCTCAATAAAATGACCGATGATATATGCTTGATTCTTGTATTGCAGTCTGACATCCAGTGAACAATGGGAGACAAAAAAATGGACGCTCAGGGGATTGAACCCTGGACCTTATACAATTCGGATGCTCGTGCAAAGCATACGCGCTACCACTGCGCTAAGCGCCCTTGTTTGTTCTTGCGTGATACGCCACTATCTCTTGCCAGCTGCACGCGGAGATCGGATCACTCCTTAGTATTACCACTCCACTTCTACAGTCTCTGGCGTTGGACTTGTCGGACCGTTCAGTCTCTCTAGCCGGATTATATGAAAGGAAGACAGTTGTTCCTTCTTGTCGGGCCGCTAGCATTTGCAATACGTGCAAAATCCATTTTTATATCTCTTGCCTTTTCTCAATCTTCAATCCGAGACTGAGTACTCAGTCCTGACTCCCAACTGAACGCTGAGAAATCACCCACACCAAGTATCTACAGGTGTTTTCCTTTAGTTGTCGACGTCATTGCCTTCTTCCGGATGTTGGACTCTCAAGAGGCTGCTATTGATGACGTGTCGGGTCATATGCAGGAGTCTGGGCCTCTCGTCCACTCCTGCTCTGCCCAAACTTTGCCGGAAGGTCCCGCTACCCTGTAACTGTCGTGCGATGGGACGGGGGTATGATCGATTGATCGTCGATGGTGTTGGTTAGGTGCTACCAAGCATGCGCAAACCGTCACATGCTGGCAGTATCGATATCGGCGGAATCATCATGTCGGCAGCTGTCTTTCCTAGACAAATGATTTATAGTATATCTGCACATCAGTGACCATTTTCAGGGTCATGTTCCCACCCAGGTACGGGTCACCCATGGGGTACTTAAAGAATCATTCATCACTCGACTACATCATGATTCGTGACTTACAACGAGTTCCCTCCAATCTTTCTTTGTACCCCATCAACCATGCTAAAGCTACCTGACCTGCACATCGCCGACAACACGCAGCTCGTCCCCAGTGCTGCAGTTTGTCTCCTTGTCGTAGGAATAATTGCTCGGGCGTTCCTTGCTAAATCAGAGAGCGGTCTTCCTCTCCCACCTTCCCCTCCCACTTGGAGACTTAAGGGGCACTTTCTGCCGCAATATTTGTAAACTTTTGTATTCACCTTATTGGGTCTTGAACGTTGAATGTTGATTTATGTCATATTGCTGATAAGCCCGTCTCTCACTATAGCGGGATGGATTGAAAAATACGGTCCTGTGGTCACCATTCGGTCAGGATTCGAGAGGGTCGTTTTGATCGGCCGTTACAAAGTCGGTCTCTGGTACATGCTGAATATTAATATTTAGGCTCAATAACTTGTCGCAGGCTGCCGTGGATATTATGGAGAACCAGGGGAAGTTCACAGCTGACCGTCCTCGCAATATTGCTGGTGGAGAAATATTTAATGGCGGAATGAGTATAGTCTTTTCACCATTGGGGGACAGGTTCCGTCGGATGCGTAGGTCAGTAATTCGCGATATTTACTTTCCCTCATTTATCTTACTCATCAACGTGATGCAGAGCACTTCATTCGCATCTGCAGCCTAAAGCAGCTGAAGTGTATCAGCCCCTGCAGATGTCACACGCAAGCAACACAGTTCTCGGCATTCTCGATGATCCACACAACTTCCAGAACCACGTGACAACGTAAGTGTTTTTGGTAATGATCACACTCTACTTACAGGCGAGTTGAAGTTATGCGGCAACAACAATCATGAAGGTTGCATATGGCAAGACTGCCCCTACATCTGCGACCGATCCCGATGTTGTTGCACTTCGTCGACGCATTCGGTTCTCTCAGAGGGCAATGATCCTGTATCCTGGCGCTTACCTAGTGAACGCGATCCCGTGGCTCAAATATCTTCCTTGGTATGCACGAGACTTGAAACAAGAGTTTGAGAAGGAAAAGAAACACAACATTGGTCGGCTGAACCTCGTGAAAGAGAAAATGGTATACACTCCCTTTTCGATCTTCACCTCATGTCTGAGCCATTCCATAGCAGAAGGACGTGGACATTGGCCCTTCGTTCATGAGATATATGCTAGAAAATGACCATATCTATGGTTTGACAGAGACAGAGATGGCCTTTCTTAGTGGTACCTTCTTTGCGGCTGGTTCCAGCACGGTAAGGCGTTCTTTTTCTGCCTCCGAATGTATTTGGTTGAAATCAGACGGGAGACTTTTCTGGCAATATGCGCGGTACTCTTGGCAGCCGCACGTTTCCCTGAGGAGCAAGCTAAAGTTCAGGCTGAACTCGATGCGGTCATCGGAAGGCGCCAAGGTAGCTTTGATTCACTATTGCAGTGCCATCGTTCAATATCTTTTGCATCAAAGCACCAACATTCGCCGACCAAGAATCCCTTCCTCGCCTGCAAGCATTCATCTCTGAGGCTTTGAGATGGAGACCACCCGTGCCTAATGGTGGTGGGTGTCTTTTGGTTTGGTTCCTACATACATTTCATAACATTCACACCGTAGCATTGGCTCACCGAACAACTCACGACGTCGTATGGGCAAGTGATCTTTAACAGCTTATCGCACGAATCGTGATACGGCCCATCAGGAAAATTATTGCATTCCAGCCGGGACCACATTGCACGCCGACCTTTGGTAAGAATCGTGCCTCCAGATACCAAGGATCTGACGGTCACTGTCTTAGGTCGATCTCTCGAGATCCTGACGTCTACCCGGAGCCTGAAGAATTCAAGCCTCAGCGTTGGATTGACGATCAAGGTCGCCTGAGCGATGATTTGAAATTCTTCGTCTATGGCTTTGGCCGGCGGTAAGTACTGCCTTTCAGCCATTCGTTCTTTGACTCATTACATCGCTTTCAGCGTATGTCCCGGTCAACATGTCGCGAACAGGTGAAGCTACTCCTCTATGCACATCGTCTTCTGAACTCACTTTGGTCGGCACAGATCGGTGTTTATCAACTCGCTCCTCATCTTATGGGCCTTCCGGCTCACTCTGGATCCCACGAAGCCGTTGAATGACATAGGATTCATGCTTGGGGCGGTATCAGATACCCCTCCGTGCCCAATTGAGTTTGAGACTAGGATTCCGGAATCGGAGCTCAGGCGCCTGATGCAGCATTATCCATGAAAGAATTTGATGCCTGGATGGGTCAGGAAGAGACGAAGGACCGGTTACCAACGAATAAACAATATCGGTGCGAGAAGGGCGGACTGGTGGGGTACGCCTCACGCCAGGGCATTTGCGCACTCAGAGATGCGATCGGCTCACTGGAGGTCCCTTAGCCTAGAACGTACTGTCCTACATAGAGTACTACTCTCCAAAGGACATAAATTGGACTCAGAAAAAGAATAAATATAAATATCGGTGCATCCATCCCTCCAGAGAGTGACTGTTTTGTAGAATGCAACACGAATTTTATTATGACGCCGAATTGCGGAGCGTGCATTTGAATATCTTCACATCAAGACCAGCATCCACTCCGGCGGTATCCAGATCGAAGTATGTAGCTGAGGTAAAAGCGTGCGGAACCTCCTCTACACGAAGTTCTTTTACTAAGCGACTTGAATATTGGATTCACCACACGACAAAGGTTGAGGTCTGCTCACCAGCTTCAGACACAAAATACGCAAAGGTCTGCTCATTTCTGACTGTTAGCGCCATCATTACCATTCGAGTACTCTCGAAGGAAAGTGCAAGGCGCAATGTTGCAATCAGAGGTGGGACCAGAATCGGGTCAAATACCTAGCTAGGTTAGTGGCAGTCACGTAACGGTGAATTTGAGCCCTACTATATCAGCACCAATCACAATGCCCGCGCCCGCTTTGGATAAAAACGTTGTCACCGCGTTCTCACTGAATGGCAGGGAAAGGGCATCGAACCAATCAAGAGTGGAGAAGGTGATATCTGGGTGATTTGATGACTGATCTACGTGACAGTAAGTAAAGACAGCACATTCGAAATACGACATGAGTTGATCAAGACAAACGAGACAGAAAAAAATCAGACTGAAAGGGTGCAGGGCAGAGTACATCAACCTGATTTCCCCGTTGAAGAGTTATAAGGATGAACGTTACATGGGATCACTCACTGCAACGAAGTCGAATATTGTCGCGACACCTTGACAGCACTCCGGCATTCACATCGGTCAGTAGTACCGCAGGCAACGGCTGATGATGTGATTGGCGACGCTTGTTAAATGTCTGTTGTATTGTCGCCACAATAATCCCAAGAAAACCGGATCCACAACCAAGCTCGAGGACCGATTGATCACAAATTGTTTCTGGTTGCATGAAGAAATATGAAGGCCGGTCGAGGAATGGCATGTTGTGTCTACCGTACCGGCATTCGCAATGAGATAACTGGCAAGGACGAAGCTTGCATACCAGGTCCTAAGCCCTGTCGTCCCGTTCTCGATGGTGGTGCGAGACTCAAGTAACGTTATGGTCTCGTAACTGTTTCGATTGGCAGAACAAAGTGAACTTGAAGGCTTCCAGTAATATGTCATATACGAGTCTGGTGGGGGACCACTAGGATCGCTGTGCAGTGGAATATAAAATGGAGGTGATTATAGGTACCTTGTCCTGGTAAATAAACCTACATCGAACGCGATATAAGGGACAAATAACGCTCATAAATTCGTGTGTCGATTTCGCCGTCCTTCAGTATGTGCAATTGTGAATGAGTCGCCTGCTCGGGTGATATTATGGTATTATAACTAACCTCTTCGTCCGAGTCTTTGTCCATTCGTTCCAGGTGTCCGATTGCCCACTTCCAAAATGATTGCTGGTATCTCTCGGAAGGTGAATACTGCTCCAAGTGCTGGTCGAACAGAACTCGGTGTAAAAGAAAAGTGTGTACCTGAGTGAATGAATATTGAACAGGAAATTTGAGATAAAGCGGAGGAATCAATGCAGAATATCCCTTTAGTAAAGTCAATAGTCCGTTATCATTTCCAAAGCATACATCGCTTGTGAATGTCATGGACATCTTCAATCATGCCTATAAACCGTTGATGCCCAGTGCAGATTAAGTTGAACTCGATCTGAGACCTGCCCTAGAGTGATCACGTGATGCCAACCAGAAATGCCTCAAATTTTTTGCGCGTTCTGCGCCCAAATGTTCACTCGTTTGCATATCTCAGCTTCGTCATCTAAGCGCACCTTGCGTTTACCATCTGCTCACACATGTCCGCGTAGAACATTCTTCCAGTCTTTCGTCGCAAGAAAGGATGAAAAATTTGAGGCAAACGACGAAGATGACGCTCTTGGCGAGGCCATTCTAGAGGGCCTGAACTTATCAGACGATGCCGATACCCCACGAACTCCTTCATACGAAAACTGGATAATAGGTGCTGGTCTTAAGTACCGTGATTCCGCGCCACGGAATTGGCTTGGCTCTGGAACGGTATGCTCAGGCTAATACCACGATGATTATTATACTCACTTCTTGTCAGCCTTTCCCTCTTAACCAATCATTCCGTCCCCCTCCGCCTGTTTCGGACGCTTTACGCACTCATATCTATTTTTCTTATATGGCTGATCCCGAGGCTAATTCAGTGCGCGCACTGGCTGCCAGACATCATCTCAGCATCAAACGTATCGATGCTATTCTACGACTGAAAGGTTTAGAACAATCGTGGAAAAAGGTGAGATCTCGGACTTCCTCTCTTTCTCAAGAACGTGATGAGCAACGTGAATTCGATTAGTCTTATAGACACATACATGGTTAAATCTACGCACCTTACTGATCTACACCTTCCTTCTACTGCCGTTCAATATTGAAAAATACTAACTAAGCTTACACCTTTCTCAGGTAAATCGCAACTACACTCAATGAAGAACAGCACACTGATTTACCACCGAAAATTCCTGTCATTACGTGTAGGATGTGAGTACTATTTCCCTTTCCTTGAAAATACATTATTCGCGCAATTCAAGCGCCTTAGTTCCTTATCTGAGCCCATACATCGTATCTTTTGTGACCTCAGCGCTCACATCCCTTGCAGGGTAAATCCTGTACAGACAGGTTTTGTTCAAGGCATGGAAAGTATCCTTGGCGTGCCTCGAACCAAGGTTTTTACCACCCTTGATGAATCGAAGCCTGTACCCGTGCAGTACGATACCAACCAGCAGGTGGCCAAAATAGATAGCGATAGATATGATGCGGTCGAGGCCGATCGAGAAGACCAAGAAGCCGGTGGCTTTGACTGGGCGCGACAAAGGTACCAGCGGATGTTTTGGGAGACTGTGCCTGAGGGCAAGGTTTGTTGATTCTTTCTTTCGATATACAAGTGGGCTAATTTATCTACTAGGACCCAATTATGCCAGGCATTTTGGATGCTGCCACAAAATCAGCCACTGCTACTTCTGAGAACAAGACAAAGACAACTATTGTCGAACGTCCTGGACGCCCAGCAATCAAATTCATTGATGTTGGCAATATGTTCTTAGATATCAAAGAGCAGGAACGTCGTGTCAAGGAGAGCGAGCGCAGGGCGAAGGTTCGATCGCGAAGAAAAGAGCGTCAATGGATGGCCAATTGAGGTGGGGTATTGTTCTCTTTCCATCGTTATGTGCCGTGCTTATCCTTGGGCATTCGTTTGATTCGAGTATTTTATATACATACAACCAATAATATAGTACGACTGTCGACCTGTCAGGATTTGCATGTGTTACTTGTCCAACTCTACGCATTGTCATGAAATTATCAACAGACGGTTGAAGGTTTTGTGAGCCTATGACAAGTTGTCACACCAAATCGCCAGCTGAGTCGTAGGTGACTAGTATCAAAGCTCGCTGGTGTGTGATAGACTTTATGCCGTATCATCATTACCGCAGTAACCGCACTGATGGCGCGCTACTAACCCGCAGTCGAAACACAACGGTCTATCGATCCGCAAGTGCATTGCTCGCATGAGCGGCGCCGTGTTACTAATAGAAAAATGTAAGTATGAGGAATAGAACAATGTACATTGTGGATGTTGAAAATGAGGGCATATATGTACTCAAGTCGCCATGCTTTGAGCTTGATTGATGTTGTTCATCAGTTGCTTCCGGTAGATCCATCTCGCCTCAAACGTTCACAAGCCTGTTGCGCAGCCGCGTCCTGAGCAGCACCTCTGGTAGGGGCCGAAGCGTAACTGTAATTCTGGTCATCGACTGTATGTAGGATGTTAGTATCTGTATCCTTGACTCCCCTAGCAGGCGAACGTACCGAAGATGGTCGCATACCATGTGGAAGCGTTGGGAGGGCCTTCCGAATAGACCTCCCACCTGACATGGTTAGGTGCAGAGGGACCATAGATCCTCTGCAATTCGTTGTTCAACCTCATGCGGGGGTCTGGAGGTCAGCGATCAGACACATCCTGTCAAACAAATGGGTGGAGGACGAACGGTCATTGCCAGACATCGCGGCTAGAATTTGGGTATGAGTATTTTCAACAGAAACCAGACGAGAGAATTCCTCGAGGCAACGACAGGCGCCAGTCCGTGATTCGGTGTTCATGCACATGCCCGGTCCCGCCAATATTTCCCCCACGCCACATATGAATCGTGCTTGTAACTCTGGTGTTGCCATTGCCAACCATGAGACAGTTCAGTACGTGCTCTTCAAGTTGGGCTTCGCTATGTGAAAATGATGCGTCACGGTCATTAGGCCGTTCGATTTGTGTCCGTCATTTACCATTGGCCTTCTTGTTCGCTGTCGAGTCGAGGATATTCATCCTGCCCGCAAGGTTTGGGAGGCATTACTGGGTCATCCTCCTTTGATGCGCTATTACCTTAGGCTACTCAACCCGGAAGCAAATCGGACATCCACCCGTTACGGGCTTCCAATTAACTGTCAGCTTGAATTATGGTTCGAACAAGCGGGCCTGAGAGGTACATGGTTTGGAGTATGTGTAGTTTGTGACTCGGAGGTGGTGGGTCGAGTGTCTTTGATTGAGCTTCGAAATCAGGGGGCGTTGTAATGGGGGCAGAAATATTGGTAGCAGATATGAGATAAAAGATTAATCAGACTGGGCCGGGTTAGCCTGACTCGGAGCTTCTACAAGGCGTGTCGCATCACGTGCCTTCCAGGCTAACTATAGCCTTGCCCCTAAATTGCCCCGGTCTGCTTCGGTGTACTGATCCCATTCCGATAGTTCACCGTTGGAAAAGAATTTGTTGAGACTCGTATGGAATTAAGTGGAAGCGTAAGCATCAGCAGTACTTGGCCGGGACGTGTGACAGACCCCACGCCACATCATGATGTGGTCTCCTCTATTCACCACCGCATTTATGCTGTGTACTCTGGGCTACTGACCCAAAGAGTGCGTCGAAGCACAACGGGATATCGAGGTATCGCGGAAGAAAGGGGACCTATATTTCTTAACCCACAACAGGCGCACTTCTATTAGTATGGATAGCGCTGTATTACGACTGTATTGAGTGGTAATAGAAGTAGCTAGATGTCGGACGAGGACAAAAATGATGACATGTGTGTATATAGGAGTGGTCATTCTTCATCGGCGGGAGCCTGGGGGCCTTTCATGGCTCAGGTGTTCACATGCCTGTTCCGCAGCCCCGTCCAGAGCACCACCTCTGGTGCGCGTTGAAGCGGTGCCGTAATTCATATCATCGACTGCATGACGTATTGGTTAGTGTGCATATCTTCGACTAAATTTAGTCAACCTCACTGTAGACGGACGCATACCACACCAAAGCGTTGGGAGGGCCTTGCGAATTGACCTCCCACCTGACATGGTCTTGTGCAGAGGGACCGTAGATCCCCTGCAATATGTTGTTCAGCCTCGTGCGGGGGTCTGGAGGTCAATGAGCGGACACATCCTGCATGTCGAACAACTGAGTAGAGGACGTACGGGAGTCATTGCTAGACATAGCTGCTAGAATTTGGGTATAAGAGTTGCAGATGGTAGAAAGTGTGTAGTACTGGTCGGATAATGAGCTGAACCACATCTCCCTTTATATCTGCAAAAGCATAGTTCATCAAGCTGAGGCTGTAACGAAAGCAGGGATAACTGGCAACCAGACGAATTTAGTGATTGGCAAGGACATCGCGGCCGCATGTTCACCGGCCATGACGGTTGTGGAGGTGGAGGAAATGATGTATTAACAAGATACGCGCTCGGTGGTGCTGATCATACTCAGGTGAAAAGGTGACGGATCTGGAAAACCGCTTTTTCTCATTGGCAGATGCTACCCAATGTTGGCTCTTTGCGCCTTCGGGATTTCGTACACTTGGCGCTAGAAGCCAGGCCAACCTGCCAAGCTGTATAGATAAAAACAAGTGGCCTGGGCACGCTATCGCTGCGCTTTTCCTATCCTGGGTATATGGCAGGCCCTGCGGTGAATGGTTGGAACGGTTCGTCGCAAATTATTAATTGCCGACTGCCAGTCCGCAGGTGGATTGAGCTAATTGCAGGTGTAAGAAGATGGATCACGCGTGAAGCGGCTTTGTATCACGTTGTTATTGAGTGAGGCAACATGATATTTGTATTTGAACAGCTAAGAGACGTTAATATGATATCAAGTCTGACAAAGCGATACATGCAACCAACAGGAATGCGACAGCGGTAGTAGTACTTAATCGTACCTACCTGCCAATGCTTTCCGGTAGCCCGTTGGTCGGTGAAGATAACAATTTTGAGGCGTAGCACGCAGTAGAATCCGAAGCTCATGAGCATGTGGGTGCAATGTTATAATTGTCACAGTGCTGGTGGATGTAATGAATTGTTTGATCATCAGAAGCATTGAAATTACGTATCGTTCTGCCATGCTGACATGTGAAGCGGCGAAATCTCTATACCGGTAAGTTAGATGCAGCACAACCTATTTGTAGTACGCGGCTCAGAGGTGAGCGAGAGGCCCTGAAATGAGCAATATATTACTACAGTGGATTAACTCCGAGTCGTTGTTTTGTAACGGAAAGACGGAAGATAAATCTCAATCTCAGAATTGAAAGGACTGAGATGGTCGCACAGATGGACTGGTATCTTCAAGGGAATCAGTATAGTGAATTATCGTAGTGAAGGAAGTGACAATTGGAATTGTAGATCTACGGCCGACGTCAACGAGTCGGACGTCGCCTGAATGCGCTCGCAACTTCTCTTGGCCCAGGTTCCAACAGCATCTAGAGCAATAGATGAGCCCACTGCCTTCGAAGCTGCATAAGGCCAACTCCTGCTGCCATCTCCTTCGCAGACCCCTTGTCACCGCCAGAACCCCGTCCGTACTCAATATTATCGACTAAATATACACCCAAAAATGTGAAAAAAAAACCATCAGGCAAAAAATGAGCACATACTATAAACAATAAAAGTCCAAGTAGGATTATGATCATCGCCATATTTGACACTTTCCCATCGCAAGTGAGAAGCAGCACTTGTGCCGTATCGTTGTTGCAAGAGGTTATTCAACCCCAATCTGTTCTCTACCATTTCAAATACGAAATAGTCAGTCGCGACAAGGATAATATAGTTGCCACATATCATCACATACGTTCTGCGTTTGGCATTGGTGATGTTTCGAAGAGATCAGAGGAAATAAGCAAAGAATGTTGGGGGGATCATCGTCTTTCCTTCGACTTTTTTATACCGGAAAGCTGGCAGCATAGCAGAGATGGTATAGAGTAGCATTGGAAAAGCGACTGGACCATCCGAAGAGGCCTATAGATTCTAGACAAGAGATGATCAATCAAAGCGCTGGAGGTTGAGCGTAATTTACCTTCCAGTGTTATGCTATACATTACTCCCTTGTCAGAAAGGCCTGTAGATAAAATAAAGGTCGTAAATTAGACAACTGAAGTGATCAGTATGTCATTCACACTCTTACAAAATACAATATAATCATTGTTGTTGGCACAATATTGATATCCAGAACGGCGTCAACGAGTCGTCCATAGGAAGCGCCACAGTGAGCGCAGAACGGGAAGCTGTGACTGATTTCATTCGACACCAATCACATAGAAACGATCAGTTGGCCATCCACTGCGCTGCGGCACATTTCATGTCGACGGTTACCGTGACTGGCTTGCCCGTTTGCGAAACAGTGTACTAAAATCTCTGATGATACTGGAAGTCGCGTTCTGCAGTACAATGTTATTCCCGTGGTAGCGCAATGTATGCCATCGGACCCGTGAGGTCACAGGTTTGAATTCGAAGCAGTGTTGACTAATAACCGTGTTGTTCAGAGTTGTTCAGACTTCCTTCGAGGGAGGGGTTACAAGCCGTTGGCAAATAAGGACATACAACACCAATCATTCGGAGCCTTTAACTTGGACTTCATAGCTAATCCAAGTGCTAAGTACTATATAAGCTACTTAGTCCATTCAGCGGCACTAGCCTGCTCACTAATATCCAATATCATTGCTTCGGCAACTCGTGCTTCAAGCTTCAAGTCAGTGACTTTGACCTGCCGGAATCAGTTCTCACTCTAAGCACAGACATGATTCGAACGAATCTCCAGGTGCCTAGGCCACAGGTGCCATATTTAATATACATGCACAGGATCCCATGTCTTTTTCCCATTGGTGGAATCCCGCGTCAATCAGTCCAACCAGTAGAGGCTAGCATTGACGGCGGCGAACTGCTAGGTAACCTAGATCCTCCGAGTTTGGGACAGTATCTCCGGATTGCCGGATCTTTTTCGGACGAGCGTAAATGCGATCAATCTCGCCTTTACTTTCATTTTCAGTCTGCATCAAGATTACTCAACCTCGAGAGTCTGCGCCTCAACATGCCCCTGCCCCGGAGACTGCACCAGGGGATGCTTTTAGGCCCTGGACTTTGCTACAGAAAATACGTTGACTTTCATCAATTCTTGAAAAGGGAAAGATAAGAGCTTACGTACTGCATCGCTATGTGGATTTCTCATTGTCTCGTCAACATCGGAGAATGAGGCATGTGGTCCTCCGTCGTACTGCCGATTGCGTTCAACTCGACGAGCGGAACGAACGCCTCCATGTTATCGTCGCAGACTTGCTGAGGAATGGTTTCTAGTGCTTTTGCGAGAACTAGTCGGAATCAGCTGCTCCATTCCAGGAACGGACGGCGCATGCTTTCAATTGTGCGTGGATAAATCCATCTGATCCATACATCCAGTAGAGAGGAGAAGAACAAACAACGAGTCATGAGTCACCTTGACAGCTCTGTCTCCAGTCACCACCACCAATGCGGATCGCTCGTTTAACGAGACTGGCATATAAGATCAAATAGGATGGCTATTAATATTGCACCCTACAATTTAAATGAAGAGCGACAGCATCAGCGAAGGTTGTTGAGAACGAAAATGAGTGGGTCGCCTGACCGAAACGCACTAATATTCCCAGCTCGCACAATGGCAAAGGATCACAGGCTGCGAGGTAGACGAAGGAGATGCTAAAAACAAAAATGAAGTAAAAAATCTCCAAGTGCGATGTCGATGAACTTGGCTCTCCTCAGTCTGTTGATACATGAGTTCATCGCGTACGAACGAGGTACCCAGGAGATGTATAGAATCAGTCCTGAAAAAAAACTGAGAGCGCCATACAGAGGAGATGGAGACCTGCTTCAGTTGGGAGGACAGACGATCCAGTTGAACTCAAGTAGTACTACCTCGGTTATCCCATTGACGCGGTGGTGCTTCTGGAATCATGGAATCAGGACCCAGGACCCAGTCGAAATCGCTGGCAGATATTACGCAGCCGACTGGCCAACAGTAGTTAGGTACCAGTGGAATTTGGCGAGTGATTTAATAGTACGAGGTCCAAGACTCCAAACTTCGGTTCACTGGAGAGCCGTTGCCTTTCTATTGTGGACGGCCAACGTCAGATAGTCATCATATTGCCCGACTTTCATGCAGGAGAGGCGGCTGAGACGAAAACTGCGATATATTAAGTTTCTCGTTCGAGGAGAAAAATCAATCCGTTAAATCAGGCCAAAAACCAAGGGGAGCTGCAAAAACTTTGGCCTTGAATTAGCGAGCGGAGTTGTGACCACCCTGGCACTAGGGTCTAAAGTCACTTCGATTTCAAGCTTGTGGACCAAACAAAAAGTTGGCGCCCGCAGATCACCCACCAACCGCTGCGACTCGTCGTTCAAAAATGAAAATTCGACAGCTCAACTTCAACCACTCAAGCGCAATGCGAGAGGGCTCTTCGCGATCAAATTTCTTGGATTGTTGATCCTGAAGAAAGGCTTCGGTACCTATCGTCGCCCCACGGATCCCTTGCAAATTGGAGTCGCCTATGACGAATTGTGTTGCCCACGGGGACATGCAAGACAGCTTGGTCGCACTTTATGTTAGCTTGGTCACAGCTCAGCATCGCCAATTTCTATTATGTCGGCAAAGTCGCAAAGGCAAGAACTGGACGACACGACGGTGAAAAATCGCAGTTCTCCCACCAGCAACGGAGCTGGGGATCTTCATGGTTTCTGCATATTGACAGCACTTCTTCTCATGTTGGATCATTCGGTTCGACATTCTTCACATCTGGATGCACGGAAATTTGTGGGGATTTGAGGCAGCTTACGATGCATGTGAGGGCACTGAGCCGAATTATAGTCACTGGTGAGTGTCTTGTTCACTCCAACCATATTTTGTTTCTGTCCTGGGGTATATCACTACTGGAGTGGCAGTGGTGGACATCTGTCGATGTTGATGGAGGCGGTTGCGCCAGTCGAAGTTTTTGGGTGGTCTTGATGCAGCCACAGTGACTATCTTGACTCACACAAATGCTGCTTGAAACATCTTGATTCTTGAGAGCTTGTGAGCACACTGCTGAATCGCTTTCATGTTTTATGATGGCGGTTGCGAACTTGCCTTGGCTCGTGCATGCGAATTAGCGTGACGCCCCTTTTTGTGTCACGCCGCTTGTCACATCGTTCTTTGTCACGCTGTCCTCGCTGAGGGAGTAGCTTGGCTTTGAAGGTTTTTCTGGCATGTCCAGGGGATGCAGTCGCTCAGGATGGTTTATCAGCGCATTTTTGGAGATATACTGTGTATCATACAACAAAGTTCACCATAAACAGAGTCCACGCACTTGAGCCTCGTGTATACTGACTCTTTCCCAAGCAGGGACGAGTCTGGCTCGCAGCATTCTTATGATGCTCTAAGCAGCACATAAGAAGTCGAACAGGTCGTCGAAGTTCGTGGTGTATATTATGGAGCTTCAACATGCAAGCATCCAAGTTCCAACACGTTGAGCGTCATGCATGTTTGCTTCCTGCGACGGCGGTCCGTAATTTTGATGGAGCAACCTGGTACCCAGTCATGCCCATGCTGTCCCTCCTGCGACGTCTTGTATCTGTCGATTTGTGCATCGATGGTTTGTCCTGGATCGGGGTCGCCGATGGAGATGTTAAAGTAATTGTTTCCGCGGAAGTAAATTTCGTACCAACCATCTCGAGATTCACAACGGTCGTACTGGGATAGGCGCTCACAATGTATTCGGCACCAACTCGGGGATTGCGAATTTGGGGATACTAACTCAACCCTGTCGGAATTGCGAATTTAGGGTTCTAATCCCTGGCTCTCAATTTATTTATTTTCGCTTTCCTTCCCTCAAGCTCCCGTTGGTATTTAAACACTAATGCCTTCGCGCAGGATATACGACATTCCTTTCCCTTCCTTCTCCCTCGTGATGAACCAGTCTTCGACAAGCAACATGAGGTTGCCCAGCTACAGAACTTCTCACTTACTTCGCTTCCACCCTTACCCGAGGGTAAAGTTAAGCCAACGTGAGAGCCTGATGGTAAGCCACGCGAAGCTCGTTGGATCGCTATTTTTCACACTCTGCCATGAAGAACACTGTAGATGATCGCCTCGGCAATCGGTATGACGTTGTTGAAGAGGACGACAATGCTAGACCTGTGATTCTCGACCTCGTAGGTATTTGCTTACATTTTCTTGTACCCCGACTTACTCTCAAATTGCAGTCCGACCTCCATGAGGAGCAGCATCCTAATGTTGAGAATCTGCAGGAAGTCGTTGAAGTCGCCGAAGTCGCCGACGCCGGCGCCAAACCTCGCATCAGACGCCTCAGCTTGACCACTTTGATCATCGTGCGTTTTGCTAGTCTTGCTTTGATTGTGTCCATTCTCTCACACATTACGCCGGCAGGACCTTGCAGTGCTGGTGGTCAGAAAGCTGGCTTTCAAAGCCAGGTAGTTCGCCATAGCCACACAGGCGCCAGTATTCAATACTGAGAAAACCATGGTGATCCTTAACAAGCTGGTACCAGTCTACTAATTCCGGTTATGCTGTCGGTCATCTTTCAACTTGTATATTGCCACGCTATCATTGTATCATACTATCGTCGCACCTTCAATTATCTCAACGTCCTTTACTATCCTTCTAATCATATCACATAACACACAATACATGTGATATACTGCCAATGCATCCAGTTGAAGTTTGTCCGGAGGGAGCTTTGCAACCGCATCGATGAACATGAACATGTGGCCCATCTCTGGCGTGGGCTCACTAAAAGCACTCGAGTTTTTTCATGTAACTGGAGAGGCTTGTGGAAGTTGTAGCGTAGTCAGCTAATGAAAGTCGTTCAACCTTCATCGTCGTGCAATTCCTGCGCTGCAGGTTGATAAATACTGTGGTATGGTTGAGAAGTGCTGGGCATGCTCTAGGAACTGCAAGGAGTCCTGTCCGTTATGGACGCGACATGACTTTCATTAATTTCCTTTGATCAAATCCACCTGAAAATTTTGTCCAATGCCATTACTGCTGTAGCGAGGACCCAGGCTTATGTCAATATTTGCAAGTACCCTGATTAGTACTTGATTGCTAAGAACAGATGATGCGGTACGTGTCATTATCAAGTCACTTCTTCTAATCTTTTACCGGCGACGTCATCTGCTTCACCGCCTGGGCATGCCCCTGCCCCTGCCCCGCATAGCACGAGCTGCTGCACCAGGTGGTGCTTTTGGCCCTGGGTTTTGCTGAAAGAGATGTCCTCAGTTCTTGTAAAGGGAAAGAGAAGAGCCTACGTACTGCCTCGCTTTGTGGATTTCTTACTGTCTCGTCAACACTGAGGATGAGACATGCGGCCTCAGTTGCACTGCTGATTGCATTCAACTTGACGAGCGGAGGCTCCCAAACGAATGCCTCCATGTTGTCGCGGACACCTTCCGGACCGTCAACATCTACTCCGAACCATTTGTTGCCAGCAGCGTGTCGCATGCGCAGTTTATTAAGAATGTCAGTAGAGTCCAGACCGGCATTGTCACAGATTTGTCGAGGAATGATTTCTAGCGCTTTTGCAAAAGCAGTCAAAATCAGTTGCTGCTTCCCAGGAATCGACAGTGCATGTTTCCGAATGTGCGCGGATAAATCCATCTGAACCACAAAGTTAGAGAGAGATCATAAAAAGACAATGAGCCATAAGTTACCTCGACAGCTCCGCCTCCAGCCACCACCTCACCATTACGGATTGCTCGCTTAACGACCATGATGGCGTCATGCAGACTACGTTCCACTTCTTCAATGAACTGCTCTGCACCACCACGAAGAAGTAGCGTGCATGTCTGTGCTTTGGGGCACTCCTCGAAGATATTATACCGTTCGCCACCGACCTGTCGCTCTTCGAACCGACCGCAAGTTCCGAGATGCTCTCGAGTTATGTCTGAACACGTTGACTGCACGGAGCCTCCTACTGCTTGACATACTCTGCGCAGATCACCAGCCGGTACACGACCAGCACAGAAGATGTCCCGGTCGGCGAACCACTGAGTGGCCAGATCTCCGATTGGCAATTTACTCAACACCACTTTGGCACCAGTCTTCTCTATCGCTTCCAACTTCCTGTAAATGATCTCCCATTCTGCATCAACGATCGCCTGGTAGTCCTTCACCGCCTCCACTCGAACCTCGGCATTGTCCTTCTCAGCTTTCAGCTCAAGCTCCACGTTCAAGCTGAGAATGAGAGGGTCCCGGAAGGACTTCGGCTGTTGCTCAGCACCTGCATACGTGAAAGTTTTTTTGAAAGAAACGCCACGGATCAACAGAGAGTCTTGCATGCCACCTCCTGGAATCTTTTTCACCCCAATGAGCGACTCGTCCAAGTCGTTTGGATCTAGGCTCTGAACAGCGTCGACGACCATGTTCGAGAAGAATGGTTTTTCCGAATGGATCAATTTTGACGACATTGACGTTGCTGCACATTTGAGTAGAAGAGATCGAAATTGCCTGAAGAAGCGTTAGGGACTGTCGTTCAAAAAATCCGAGACATACTCAGGATCGGACTTATCGATACTAATCTGAATTGCCTTGATGCGCTCTTCAGCCTATTGATCGTTAATATCATGATTTTCGAGCGATATCGCAGCAACATGTATTACGTACCAGTTGTGACGCCTTTCTGAATCCCTTCATGATGATGTGCGGGCTGACACCCTCCTCGATGTATCCACGAACTTCTTTGAGGAACTGTGCAGCCAAAAGTACTACACTGGTGGTTCCATCGCCGACTTCTGCATCCTGGGCACGTGCGATGTCGACGAGGGTCCTGGCAGCCGGATGAACAATGTCAAGAAGCTTCAAGATCGTTGCACCGTCATTGGTGATCTGGGCTTCGCCACGTTCGTTCACGATCAGCTTGTCCATTCCACGCGGACCAAGTGTGCTGGAGAGTGTCTCGGATATGGCAAGACACGCGGATATGTTAGACAAAAGCTGTGGGTTTCCTTGAGACGTGTCTGTGCCCTCCCGAAGGAGCACGACAGTGGGTTGCTAAAATCAAGGATCGATTATGATGAATAGCAGACACGGAAAGGACGTACCATTGGTAGGCCGCGCTGCATTTTGTGCCAGTAGATCGCGCAAGACGATGGCAAGAATATGTCAGTAGTAATATTGCATCTGCAGTTTGTACTTGTTTGGCTAACGCGTTTGTTGTATCTCTGCTCTCCATCAACGGCTCTGCCTCGAGTTCCTATAAATTTGCACAGATCGGAGCGTCACTTATATAAATGGGATTTACTAGAGGAGCTACACGCGTTCAAAAATTTATTTGCAAATGACAACTTCAAGAGGATTACGCGGGGAAGTTGTGAGACTGAATGTGTTGGCACGATTAGACATTAAGCATTCGAAGTACTACTAGCTTCGTAGGGAGAGACCCTGTGTAGTAACCGCCAGCACCTAACCTCCGGATACTTGACGTCCAGCTCTACGTTTTCCGCAATGGCATTCCCATTATCATATAATGGCTGGGATTTAATAAGATATTTTGATTTGCTTCTGTGATACAACAGTCGCCATGAACCGCAAACAAATCAAGCCGTCGGTTCACTTCGGTCCACGACGGATATCCATGGTGAATAACTTGATTGACACAAGGGAGCATGTGAAATGATGCGAGCGACAGCTTCAGCATCCTCAATAGGAGAGTTGAGCAGGCCCAATATTCCCAGGGTGGCATGTTGAAATGGCTGTATCGGATCAATAATGTCAATTTTCACAACATCCACTAATAAATGCAGGCCTTGCAAATGGGGACATCGACATAATGCATTGAATCATCCGTGAAATGCAACCTAGTAAGTGGACAAAAATGTGGGTCCCATAATACCAGAGTTCGGCCAACTTGACATAGAGGTTGAGGAAAGGCACGAAATCGAAATTATTTCAGTCCGATGGATAAAGGACTTTCCAGCGTCCCGAGAATAAGAAGGATAGGGAGGTTGAGAGATGCTCCCATGTTGCCAAGTCCAAGTTGAGCCGTGGACACAAGCGTTACAAAGTGTTGAATGAACGGATGGAGTAAGAGAGCAGGTTTGCTGTGTACCCTTTACTAAGGACGACACTTAGGCTCTCCAGGACACTAACAGCAGGCCAGGATAGATGCTGAATAGGGAGGTAAGACCGGGCTATAAAGCACTATTGACGCAGCGCAGGAGGCAGGAAGAATCCAATATGTGTAATTCATCCCAGCCAGGATGTTATAAAGACTGTCCGACAGCAGTCCTGCAGCTGGGAACCATCTCTTCATGGGAAGCAAGTGAAAATGCTTATACACATTGCGCACACACGGCCCACATGACGCAAGAATTGACGAGCCTCGTGCTCTGATAACGGTAACGGTTCAACACTTGAGAACAAAAGTACTGCGTTGAGTACAGTGGAAGCGATGTGGTCCGAGTCAGTCTAAATTGAACGAAACACGCTGGCAAGAGAGCGTGACTAGTAGTAACACAGCCAAACAACTCGGACGCGTCTCACATTTGACTGGTGTCGGCGCGTCGGATCTATCATCCCTTAGCAGCGCCGTCTCTCGCGTCCTATACAAAAGAACTTTCATGATCCACGACTTTCGACCTTGTGATGGTCTTTTTTTCGCAGATTCTGACGATGAAGAAGACGACGCGAAGTCCACAACCGTGACGGTTCCGAGTCAGATTGGCGTATCAGTGCAGCCAGCATCTCATCAACTAGCTCCCCCATCAGGTCCGCCCTACTCCCCACAAGAGAAGCGTCTGTTCTTTGCCGATAGTGATGATGAAGATATTCCACGTTTCCAAACTCCAAGGCCAATTGCGATTAATTCAGAATTGATCATGAATGGCAATGACAGCGAAAGCGACCTGGAAATACCCTCATTTGAAGAGGTTCCTCGAGCTTCCAGCGTCAGTAGCATGTCATCAGGGCCCTCTCACAGAAGTTCCTCGCCGGTGCCAGGTCCTTCTCGTGAAGAACCACCGGTCAAGAAGAGGCGACTCTCACCTCCTTCCAAGGTTCAGGTGCGTACGGGACCGTCTGGTCATTCTGCATATCTTGGATCATTCCTTGTTGGGAATGCCTGGAGTACTGTCAAAGGCAAAGGTTATATCAAACCAGGCGACACCATTCACATTGAACGGGATGATCCTGATGATTTTAAATCTGGCCTACCAGTTTCTGGCAAAGGAAAGAAGAAAGCTCTTCCCGTTAATGGTAAAAAGACGCAACTCACCCTCGGTGCTATGCTGAAATCGCAGCCACCCAAAACGACGAAGAAAGCTGACACCGTAGTTCGCCTTACAAATGACCGTGGTTTCGGTGAGCATTATCTGCAAATGATGTAAGGGTGCTCACATATTTCAACCAGAGTTTGGCCGTCTTCCGCAGCATGTTTCATCTTGGGTTTCAAGGCTTCTTGACTTCGGTACTTTATCTTCCATCTGAATTAGCCTTGCATTTACCACGGCGTCCAGGGATCGTCGACTTCAAGGGCAGTACAGTGGTGGACTGCCCAGCCACTCTACATTCTGGTGCAGACCTGATAGTCTCATTGTCTGTATATGTCCGTACATCTGCATTTAAACCACCGAGTACTTCCGCGGAGGGGGCACCGAAGGCGATGTTCAATCAGGGACAAGAGACACAAAATGAACAAACTCTCAGAGAACGCAAATCTGCGCTACTCTCTCTCTTCGATGCTGTTAACCTCCGCCCTTGTAGGGGAGCCCGCGTCCAAGATAATGGCAACATGGAAAATGGATCTGACGGCATGAACAATAAACTGACGCAACATTCCGGCGATGCCAAGAAAAAGAGAATTGAAATTGTTGGCGACGGCGAGGAAGTAGAAATAGAAGAAGGCGAGGAGTTGTCTGACAGCGAGTTGGATGTCATCTACAAGAAGCGGGTATCATTTTGTGACGTCAGGCTATCATATTGACAGTTTTCTAGAGCCCAGAAGCACGATCAATCGATGGCTGAGATGGATCCTCCTGGCACCTTTACATTAACACTAAGGGGATACCAGAAACAAGCGCTTATGTGGGCCGGACTATCATCAAATTTCTAATTCTCCCCTACTGACTCATACAAGGTGGATGCATTCAAGGGAATCAGGCGAAATGTCTGCTAGAGAAGCTGTGTCTATGCACCCTCTATGGAGCGAGTAAGTCCCCAAAACATGCTATAAGAACAGCGATCAACTGTTCTTATAGGTATGCTTTCCCTGCCGAACCTCGAGATGGTATAATCGATCTGACTGCAGACGAGAAGCCGTTCTACTTCAACCCTTACTCTGGAGAACTCAGTCTTGACTTTCCTAAGGCCGAACGCACACTCAAAGGAGGGATCCTCGCGTAAGTAGCAAGCATTCGTTGATTAATAGATACTTATTCCCTGCCAGTGATGGTAAAGTGCAGTTCTCATCTAACGTTACCTTACTCATAAACAACAATCTTTCAACATGGCACACCACGCAGAGAGTGCGTCCCTGTAACCTTTGTGCAGTGTTCAGAGCTGATTCATTCATCTCAGTGGGAATGGGAAAAACCATCATGTTATCTGCTCTCATTCATACAAACCGAGATTCGGAAACTATTCTTCCTGACGATACTTCCAGGGATCTTGCACGCATTCGTCAGCTGAAACTTGACAATGCCTTCCGGTCAAGAGCTCTCAGGCAAACGAAGAAGCCTACCAAAGGCCCTTCTGCAACATTGATTGTTGCTCCTACCTCACTGCTCTCCCAGTGGCACGAGGAACTCCAGCGGTCGAGTGCACCAGGGACCCTCAAAGTCAGTGTCTGGCACGGACAGAATAGACTGGACCTGGACGGTATAGAAGATAATTCGATGGATGATGCGTTTATCACCGTGATTATTACATCCTACGGCGTACTTGCCTCCGAACACTCCAAACTGCTCAAGTCTGGTGGTCAATCTTCTATTTTCCAAGGTATGTCTCAGGGATCAACGAAAGTCCCTCGATTAACGGCTTGTGAAGTGGAGTGGCTGCGAGTCATTTTGGACGAAGCTCATCACTGCAAGTCGAGGACAAGTAAGACCGCACGAGCTGTGTATGCTCTTCGTGCTAGACGTAGATGGGCCGTAACAGGTGATTACACTGATGTTTCTCATAATCCAGATGCTAAATTACAATCAGGAACTCCCATTGTCAATAAACTGGAGGACCTTCATTCGCTTCTGTGAGTAACAAAAGTATACATATACAATAGTTCAACTGATCTCGTATCAGCCAATTCCTGGAGTATACACCGTGGTCATCGTACTCATTCTTCCGCTCGTATGTGTCTATCCTTCTCGTGAATTTTCATTCTTCTTAAGACTGAAGCCATTTGCCAGTTTCATTACTGTGCCATTCCTTGCTCGCGATCCCAAGGCAATAGAAATAGTGCAAGTAATCCTCGAGAGTGTCCTTCTCCGACGCGAGAAGAACATGCGTGATAACACTGGCAAACGCATCGTCGAATTACCTGCGAAGGAAATCACTGTCGATACACTGCACTTTACACCTGCAGAACAAAAGATATACGACTCTATTTACAATGCAGCAAAGCGGAACTTCGATCAGCTCAACGCAAAAGGGCTCGTTGGCAAAAACTACACCCACATTCTTGCTATGATTATGAAGTGAGATTTTCGATGCCTGACGTATCTTAATCTTACCTCTTTTTCAAGACTGCGCCGGGCAGTGCTTCATCCAGATCTGGTCACTGATACTAGCGATGGGATAGAGACCAAACCTTCTGGACACTCTAAAGATGGAGCGATCGACGTGGACACCCTGATGAATGACATCTCAGAGGGTGATTCGGGGAGTGGCTTGAAAGCAGCCTATGCTGAGAGTGTTTTAGCCAACCTTGACATGTCCAATGATGCAGAATGCCCAATCTGCCTTGATGTGATGCAGACACCGTCCATCATCCCTCCCTGTATGCATCAATGGTGCGCATAATACTGTCCGTTTCATCTACCAATGCTAACGTTATAACACAGTTGTAAAGAATGCATTATATCATATCTTGCGACATGCACGGACAAGGGAGAGGTGCCACGATGCCCGACGTGCTCACATGGACCAGTCAAGGAGCAAGATCTCATTGAGGTTCTCCGGTCGTCTGGTCAAGATAGCCCACACCAGGAGTCCACAGGGGACGAAAAAGAAGGGACGTTGACGTCAGAAGTCTTCCTGCGCCGAAATGATTTTAGATCATCCACGAAACTGGATGCGCTGGTACAAAACCTTAGTAGGTGTTCCTTTGCATAGTCCATTCCACTCTGAGCTAAGTTCGTTCCAGGACGAATCCGAGATCAAGACCCATACTTCCGTGCTGTCGTCTTCTCGCAGTTTACGTCCTTCCTTTCGCTTATCTCTGTGGCACTGGACCGTGAACGCCTGTCGTGGTACCGTTTTGACGGATCGATGGACCTCAAGAAGCGCAATGCTGCCATATCAGAATTCAAGCAGAATGAGCGGAAGCCCAAGGTTCTCATTGTCAGCCTGAAAGCAGGTGGCGTTGGTCTGAACGTAAGCGCAAGTCACCTGCCTCTTGAATCTCCTGAACGTTACTTCAAAACGATAGCTGACGAGCGCCAACCACGTTTTCATGGTTAGTCCCCGGAATTTGTCGTTCCGTGCCACTGATGAATATTGCTCAGATGGACTGCTGGTGGAACGCGGCGACCGAAAATCAAGGTTGGTGTCCGGGTATCCGTCTATAGTTGACCGTACTGATTTTGGTGACAGCCATCGATCGCGTGCACCGAATAGGCCAAGAGAAAACTGTCTATGTCAAACACTTTATAGTGAGCTCGTCTTGATCTCTGTTCACCATATCCATTAAATCTTCTTCGAGGTCGATCACACCATCGAAGGCCGCATACTCCAGATCCAAAAACGCAAGACCGCCATCGTCAAAGAGGCATTCCGGGGGAGCGATAAATCGGGCAAAGCAGACCCGGAGAGTCTTGAGAATCTGAAAGTTATATTCGGTGACGATTAATAACAGCTCTTGTATAAATGGTGCTTCTCTTCGAATGGCATCGAGCTAGATGTAAGTCTACGGAACGAGAAATTTTTAAAAGATCAATCAAAACGGACTTCGACAGGAACTTCTAAACCCACGATCCAGGCGCAGGTAGCTGAACTCAGTAAAAAAATAAATTTCCATGATTATCTGCAATGAACATGTCACGATCAACTTCGATCGGTAAATAACTAATTGCGAGTCTCGCAGCATTGCAAGCACATACTTGATTACTCCATCGTTCGATAAAAAATCTACACAGGGCACAGCCCAAAATAACAATACATGAGAAGAAAACTGTCAAAGTGAAGGTCCTGCATATTGTAACGTCACAGTCACGAGATTACCCTGGAATCTCCTGAGATGTGAGGAAACAAAATCCTTTAACCGTAAGTGCTCTCAGTCTTGATCGCGCCACAAAATCGACATGACCAAAACTGGTGGGGTATTTCAGCCTCACCACACGTCTCACAAGTCCATCCCATAAGAGGATCTTGACGACGCCCTGTTAGGCACAAGGTACATTGGCGTGCTTGTTGATCATTGACGAGCGTGCAAACCGCACAAGCCCATTGCCCACCACCAGCTGGGGTCTCGGCTGGTTTGCGAGGAGGCGTGGGATCCTTGGGACTGCTTGGCTGCCTCACTGCAACGACTCTAGACTGTTTTGGGGCATCAGAAGTTGATCCGGAAGTACCCTGTGGCCTCGATGGTCCGATAACAACACGTGATTGACTCGCAGTTCTACGCGAGTTGAAAGGACGGACAGCAAAGCATGCTGCGCACTGCAGCACAATCGGCTCATTGTGAAGTGTGCACATAGGACAAGGCCACGGTTCTAGAGGGGACTCATCGGTAAGATCAATGATGTCTTCGATGCTTTCCCTGGCCGCCCTCTCGGCTTCGCGCTGGGCAAGTATACCCGACCCACACTCGATCTCATCACGCTTTCTGCGCTCGGCAGCCTGCGAAAGGTAGCATTAACGTATATTTTCAGGAGACGGAAAACACAAAGAAGGACCTGTGCGGCCAGTTCACGCGGATCCATGCCTTGCAGCGCAGTGATTCTGAGACCACCTAGTCTGCCGCCGCCGAGAACGTCATTGGCACGACGCCTCTCTTCGGCAGCTTCAAGAGCCTTGAGTCTAGCTAAGTATGGCGGAAGATCGTACGATATCCCTGCGCCTAGTCTATGGCCAGGAGAAAAGAAGCCTTCGCCAGCGTAGCCAGAGCGCACTAGGGCATCATACTCGTCCTCGAGTGCAGCTAGAAACTTGTAAAAAGTTTCGTCGTGAGGGCCATGGACATTATGAGTAAGCTATATTGAGGTATTATCGGTAGCTTGAATACGCCGGTTCAAAGACTTTCTTACCTCATGAAGCATGACCCGAACAACCTGATCTTCCTCATAAAAGGTGTCGGGAGCCCATGGAAGGCGCAATCTCAAAAGAATCTGCTCTCCTCCGTTTACATCTGAATGCGTGTCAGCAAGTGGAACGAACAGTTGATGTGTCCGACGCTCACTCAACCCTGCATGATGGGTGACCCTATGAAGAAGTCTCAGGTGATACTGGAAGGAACTTACCGACTAAATTAGGGCTTTCAGGGAAAAATTCAGATAATAACGGCAAGACCCAGCCATGTTTCCTCATGATAGGCTTTACCAGGGTTGCTACCCGTTGAAGCATGGGCAAGGCTCGATCTGCATGTGGGCGATCTTTCAAGTGAGTGAATGATTTCACGAAAGTTTGCAACATGTATGTATCCCGGAGTGACTGGATAGTGGCCAACACGGATCTGATTGCTTAATCAGCTTTGACAGTAAAGTTATAAATAACACTCACTGGAGTATTATGTTAACAACAATGTCATGACAGGCTTATGGCCGCTATAACTATGAACAACCCGGACGGCCACCTCACGCTGAGGCACCCTGAGATAAGCATGCTGTCGGTTAACGGTACTTCTCCCTCGCCCACAAACTTCTGATGCTATTCTAGAATCATACTTGGTTCGCTCTGGTTTTGTGGGCTGACGCATGCTAATTTCCAGTAGCAGCAGTTCCGCGGTTATAGTAGGTGTTCTGGGCTATTGCCTCGATAAACCTTCGGAACCGATGCTAACTCAACGTAAGTCGTTGTCAAACCTTTGTCATTAATCAACGTTGTGGTACTAAACGTCACCCCTTTTGTTTATCCTTAAACACGTGTGCTTCTACTACTAGCCTAACTATAAGCACTGGAAAGCCTCGTCCAACAACTCTGATGACCTTTGCCCCAAAATTACTCTACTCCTGAAAGTAGCCGAGTGCACACATGAGCTCAACCGCGACAACAATAACACACGACCTTAATTCATTTTCTTACGCGCAAGGTTAGTTCTGGTGATATTCTCAACTTCCAATCTCATTCGATCCGAACATTGTTTTCAGTTGCTGTCGCCGTTGCAGTCTTGTATGATCACGGTATGCAATCTATCGAGTCTTATGGCCATTGACTCAGTTATCGTCCAAACAGGACTAACCTTCGCTCGTGAAGTGAGTCCACTATTGATCAATGGTTGACGAGCAAAACTTAATGACGTTGCTGGACTCAGATAGATTATATATGGGCGAGTCTAACTTGAAAATGGTGTCCCTTGTTATACGCTAACTTCATTGATGTCCAGCGGAGGCCGCCTTCATTAGTGTCCGCCTTATATCTATTGGTATGTGCAACTAGGATGGAATTTTTCTAGTTTTCATGTTAGTTATATAGGACCGCTATGTGGGCGATTCCATTGTGATGTAAGCCCTCATGTTTAGCTCTCATCAGTAGTCTGATATGTTCCTAGCCTTGGCGTATACTGTACGTCAATATTTATGTCACAAGCTCTCACTCTCACACGGTCTAGTGTGCCTCACTGAGGATGGATCAATACAAGTGAGCATGTTGATCTAAATGTACGACTTGCAGTTTTCTTACAAAGTTGTGTACAGGAGTATGATTTATAACGCGCTCTATTCGTACTTCTTGCTGATAGCATTGGTTTCGCGCATTTTTCAGATGCAAGTACATCAACTTCGTATTCCAAATGATCAGTATCTCACTTATACCCAAGGCTATCCGCTTTTCCAGGTCCGAGGTTGGGGTACTCTTCTGTGTTCATGGCTTACTCAAAGTAAATCATATTTGTACATATACCATTTGACATTTACACCATCCACACAGGTATCATGCAACTCCGAATATATGCTATGTACCGGCGGACTAGGTGGATACTCACGGTATTGCTCTTATCCTTTTTTAGCGAGGTCCTTGCTGTCATTGTAATCATCTGGACGACCAATGGTCCAAGAAGCAAATTTGTTGGTACGTACTGCAAAGATACTGTGGAGGAACGATACACGCGGGAGGTTTTACGACACGCTAGAACAAAGGTACGAGTCTCAGTATTCGTTTCGAATCTCTATTAACAATTGTTTGTACCTAGAACAAAGGTACGACTAGATGTACGTCAGCGCTTGCGCTCGAACGTTACAGTGGGACTTGTACTTACGTCTCAGTATTCGTTTCGAATCTGAGACGTTTCGACGAAAACAGCGTCCTCTTATACGGTGAGTCTGCCAGCAATAGCTTTGATGAAAAATATATACTTAAAGAACGAAAAGATTGCCGACGTTGACACGTCGTCGACGTTCTCCGTTTGGAGACGCTCGCACTCGATGTGCTCTATTCTTCGGCCGTATCGTCCTTTCCTTTCTCAGCTCTCTCTCTCTCGGCCTTACTTCCCTCGGACACATCGGCTCTCAACACTCCCCCTCGAGCGTTATCCAAACACATCAATGTCCTCAACCTCTGGAGTCGGGGACGTGCCAATGGCTTCGTGAACGCGTCCGCGACATTGTCGTCACTGGGGCAGTAGATTATCTTGAAGGTACCGTCCTTCACGTGGCCGCGTACGAAGTGGTATCGCAGGTCTATGTGCTTGGTGCGCGATTGGAATTTTCCCGTCGAGACTAACGCTATAGCAGCTTGGTTGTCGCAGAAGATGGGTGTGGGGAGGTCTTGGACGTCGTAGAGCTCGCGGATGAGGAGTTGCAGGTAAAGTACTTCCCTTGCCACGCTGGTCAACGCTATGTACTCAGCTTCAGCTGTTGACAGGGCTATGATAGGCTGTTTGCGCGCGCTCCACGAAACGGGGCCTCCATGGAGCAGTACGATGTACCCGCTCATGGAGTGCCTATGTGGCTGCGATGCCCAATCGGCATCGACAAACGCCTCAATTCCTCCCTCGCTGGATCCCAACGTCAGCTCATAGTCTGCGGTGCCTTTCAGGTACCGCAGGGCGCGTTTGGTGGCCTCCCAATGGGGTCTCCCCGGATTCCTCATAAATTGCGACAGTGTTGCCACCGCAAAAGCGATATCTGGCCGGGTACTCGTAGCTGCGTACATTAACGAACCGATCGCGCGTTGATATGGTATGTCTCGCATAGCTTGGAGTTCGGCGTGTGTTGCAGGGGACTGATCTATGGAAAGGACAGTACCTGGTTCCATGGGCGTGTGCAGGACCTTCGCGTCCTCCAGGTGGAACCTTTCGAGGATCGTCTCGACGTATGCCTTCTGTGAAAGTGTCAAGGTGCGTGCTACGCGGTCCCTCGTCACCTTCAGCCCCAATAACCAGCTCAACTCCCCTAGGTCGCTAATCTCGAAGTGCGCGCGCAGCTCGGACTTAAACCGATGGATATGGGATATATGGTTGGCGGTGACGGCCATGTCGTCGACAGAGACGGTGATGACGACGTGTTCGCGCGAGGTGCGTTTGTAGAAAACGGCTTGATCTACTTTTGACCTGCTGAAGCCCATTTCATTGAAGGCTCCAGCTAGCTCCTGCGCCCACTCATATCCTGCTTGTTTGAGTCCAGGTAAGCTTCTTTTCAGCTTCAGTACCTTCCCTTCCTGACCATCCTTCAAGTATCCAGGGGGCGCTCGCATATATATGTCCTCCTGCAGACTCGCATATAGGTACGCACTTTTAATATCGACTTGGTGTATTTCCCAGTCGTGCTGAGCAGCCATCGTTAGGACTGCACGTATTGTGCTCATATTGGCCGTGGGGGCGAAGGTTTCGAAGAAATCGACCCCGTACTTCTGGCGCTGCCCATTTGCAACTAGGCGCGCGCGAAGCTTCAGCTTCTCGCCGTCCGGCCCGCGCTTTGTGGCCAGGACGTAATGGCATGGGATAAGGTTTACGCCTCGAGGTGCATCTACGATTTCCCACGTACCTAGCTTCTCGAGTTGACTGACTTCGTAATTGATGGCTTCTTGCCACTCTGCAGCGTCTGGGCCCTTCAAGGCTTGTTGGAGGGTCGGTTCTGGTTGGACGGCGGCCAATGCTAGGTGAATATGCGCCTCTTCATCCAAGAGGTCGAGTTCTGACGCTTCCAACAGGCTTTCCATGGTTAGGGCTGCCGTTTGGCCCTCATTCAGCGCCGCATAGTACCCTGGGGGTGGTCTTACCCTCGTCGACCTCGCTTCAGGAGTAGATGGTTGAGGTTGCTGGGCAGTAGACGGTTGAGGTTGCTGAGGAGTAGATGGTTGAGGTTGCTGTGGCATGGTGATGGGCTGGACGCTACTAGGTGAGTTATTATTACCCTTGCCGCTGTTATGTTCGTTGACTACAGCAGACTCCCCCTCGTCCGGCATACCATCGGCTGCCAGGATCGGCGTGAAGGTCACATTCCTCTCCACCGAGACACGCCGTCTGCCGGGCCAATACACCCGGTATCCTTTACTTTCAGCGTCTACCCCCACAAAAACTGCCTCCTCCGCCCTCGCCTCCAGCTTACCAGCCTCCAGCATATGGACGAAGACCCTGGCCCCAAATTCATGGGCCTGCGACAAGTCCGGCTTGGACTTGCGCACCAACTCGTAGGGCGTGCTACCTGGGATCGCCCTTGAAGGTAGGCGATTCTTGAGCCAAGTGGCGTAACTAACGGCCTCGGCCCACAGGTACTTTGGCATATCTCTGCCTAGGAGCATGGCTCTCGCATGCTCGACGAGTGTCCGGTTGAGTCGTTCGGCGACACCATTCTGTTGGGGTGAGTCGTGCACTGTTAGCTGCCGCTCTATACCTTGCTGACGCAAGTATTGATCGAACTCGGCGCTCAGATACTCTCCTCCTCTGTCCGAACGGATTTTGCGCACGCGCACACCTGGTGATTGACGGGCCACCCATGCCTCATAGGACTTGAACGCGGTAAGTGCGTCACTCTTTTGTTTGAGGAACTCGAGTCGCGTCTGCCGGCTAAAGTCGTCCGTGAAACTGACATAATATTTACAGCCTCCCAAACTCGTCGTCTGCGCCGGTCCCCAGAGGTCCGTATGGACTAGTTCTCCGTATGTAAGTGCGCGCATCTTCGTTTCTCTTGGGAAGGACTGCTGAGCTGACTTAGCTTTCACGCAGACTTCACAGAACTGGATGGCGGGCGCCGGATCTATGTCTATGCCCAGGATTAGGCCCTTCTTGACTGCGTCAAGAAGGGCCGCATGTGATACGTGCCCTAGGGCACGATGGACATCATTGATGGTAAGCTTTGTCCTGGCGACGTTGGCACGATGCTTACGGTCGGACGTTACAGCGTAAAGTCCCTGGACTTGGGGTATTTCTGCGATCGTCCTTCGTTCGGGGGGAGCAGACAGTATCCTGCACATTCCTCCTTCGAACAGCACGGCCAAACCGGCGGAGGCGATCTTATTGGTGGAGATAAGGGTAAATGCCATGGAGGGGGCATATAGGACGTCTTTTAGCGTCACGGTCGTTCGTTTCGAGCCCAACGGTAAGTCCATCCTCACGTCTCCTCGTCCTGTCGCATTGACAGTAGCTCCATTCGCAGTGTATATCTTCTGCGGGGCGATCTCGACGAAGGATACAAATTTTGCCCTATCCGGGCAGAAATGAGAGGTCGCGCCGGAGTCTACTATTGCTCCTCGGCGCTCTGGAGGTACGTCCATCGATTTTGCTATGACTGCGAGGTCTGACGTAGCGAAAGCGTAGTTGTCCTTTGGCTCCGGCTCTTTGGCTACATTGGCACTTTGTTTTTGGGTGCGTCCTCCTTGTCTCTGCCGTTGATTCGGCCCCTGACCTTCTTTTCCTCCACCTTTTCGCCAACAGTCACTCTTCCAGTGGCCCTTACGATCGCAGTTCGTACAGACTGCGTCGGGGTTGGATTTTGGAGCCGAGCTCTGCGAGCTTGTGCTCCTCCCTGCATTTGTTCTCGCGGAGAGCGCACTGTTGGTCCCGCGTTTGTTGGGACGTCGTTCGGTGAGTAACCGGTGCTCGTATTCCTCTGTGATGATGGTGATGAGTTCGTAGGGCGAGAGGGGAGTTTTCGTTATCTTGGCCGCTGCGTTCATCGACGACAGTAGCGGCCGGTAGGATTCAGGTAAGGACCCTAGGATGATGGCATGAAAGTCCGTATCAATGACGGCTACCCCCATTCCAGCTAACGACTCCCTCAGGCGCAAAAGCTCTGAAAAATGAGCCTTGACGTCACCACCTTCTTCGCACCTCGTCTCCTGGAGCCTCCGTCTCAGATCTATCTGGACGAGTTCGGTTTTGCCTTCATGTATGTGGCATATTTCCTTCCAGATTTCGGACGCGGATGCTAACTTTTGGACACGTAACAGCAGCCGATCTGTGATCGTGCAAAATATTTGCTGTTTTACGAGTGAGTTCTTTTGTTGATACTCATCGGTCTTTGCGTCGAGCTCATCGATTTCTTTCTGCGTAGGTGTTGTACCATCCGGCTTCGTAACGGCCCCCGTAGAGCTCTTTACGAAAGGCGTAGGCTCTTTAGCTCGTCCATCGGTATATCTCGTAAGTCCTCGTGCACCTATAGCCGTTAACGTCCTTTCCTTGTAGGTTATCCAGTTCGAGCCATCTTCGGCGAGCTTCGGGATGTTAAAAAGGTTTGAATTGGTGCTGGGAGTCGACAAGTCCATGGAGGAGACAGGGCTCATAACCTGTGGAGGAACGATACACGCGGGAGGTTTTACGACACGCTAGAACAAAGGTACGAGTCTCAGTATTCGTTTCGAATCTCTATTAACAATTGTTTGTACCTAGAACAAAGGTACGACTAGATGTACGTCAGCGCTTGCGCTCGAACGTTACAGTGGGACTTGTACTTACGTCTCAGTATTCGTTTCGAATCTGAGACGTTTCGACGAAAACAGCGTCCTCTTATACGGTGAGTCTGCCAGCAATAGCTTTGATGAAAAATATATACTTAAAGAACGAAAAGATTGCCGACGTTGACACGTCGTCGACGTTCTCCGTTTGGAGACGCTCGCACTCGATGTGCTCTATTCTTCGGCCGTATCGTCCTTTCCTTTCTCAGCTCTCTCTCTCTCGGCCTTACTTCCCTCGGACACATCGGCTCTCAACAGATACGTGGAGCCACACTCGTTCATTCCACATCACTAGTCATTGTCGAGCCTTTTCCTGGGAAGCGCTTGTGCTCCTTCACCGGGATCAACACAGACTTCGTCTATTTATTCATACCCATCCTTTGCTTCGAGACATTGCTCTTCTTCTTGGCCATCAGAGTATCTCTCAAAAATATGAGAGAAAGGAGGGCCACCCCCGGTACCTCCAGCTTGCGCATAAATTCATTCATGAGCATACTCGTGCGGGACAGCATTTTGTATTTTTTCATGTTAGTATCATTTTTTCCATGCATTCTTAATCACCGGCTAACAATCGGTCCACCCAGAAACCTGGCGAAGTGCGCTATTGTCATGGGCCTGTGGCGGAATGCTTCTGTGAGATTTTTTTGATTTTTTTTTTGATGTATTACTCACTATTACTCGTTGTTCCCTGCATGCAATCAGACCCTGCGCGCAAATATATCTATCCCGTTCATCATGCTTCTAGAAACCATGATCGGTACCCGAGTAGTAATCAACTTCAAGGAACATTGTTCTCGCCGGTTGAGCTCGGAACCGGTCATGATCACTGGGTCCATACGCTTTGCAGGAGTCAGTGAAGAGACTGCACGCCAGGGTACGATCCATGACCAGTCGAGCGAAGGCAATGAGATGCAGCTGGTCAAGGGTTTTCAAGAGAGTACTGAGGTCATCGTTTTCGAGGAAATATAACCTTTAATTGCTGCGATCCACATGAACTATGCATATGGACCAATTTCTACAAGATTTGTGATATAGTACATGTACAAAGAATTGAGCCCATGCCGCTGGTGTAAATGCAATAAGGTACCGGATAATACGATGCAATCTAGTACGTGTGACAACCATGTTACTGTAATGAGTGAGTGTTCGAGTGCAGCGATGCAGGATGAAGCAGTGATATGGCAAATAGCAATAATCAATAGCAGAGCGGAGGAGGAAAGCGAAGGATAGATGAGATCCGGGTTGAAAGCGTCGGATAAAGTGACGAAGGGTATACAGGTAATGCGAACAATGAATGGTACTCCTATGATAAAACGATGTCGTCGGCGGTATTCTTACTGGCAGTGTACACGTAGATGGAGCGCACGAAAGTGAGCTCGTCTTTCGAATAACGTGATGACTCGGGTTGCTTCACGCTGGCGTCTGAGTATCCTCGAGGACGTGGGCGAATAGAGAGCACGTCGGTTGAAAGTCTGTGATTAGGAGTGACGGAGGGCTCATCATGGATAGACTTTTCCATTTCAGGAATCACTGAGGGCCAGTTGAAACGCTTGCGGCGGAAGCTTTAAATCGGTGGACATAAGATTTCGAAGGAAATTATTCAGTTGAAGGTACTCACCACTCGTAGTCCCAAATGAGATCATCTAACACTGCGTCATCCAAAAGGGCATTTCCGTCGGCATCACGGAAGAATTCTTGCGCGTACTCATGCAGTGCAGCTTTGCACCCGAGCAGACTCTGCATGTGCTTGCATGCGTGCATCTCAAGCTCGAAAGGCCCCAGTTCAATCAACGTGTTAGGCCACAGAACCAGCCCGGGAGATTGAACAGGACGTGAGGGTGGGGGATTTACTGAACGTCGGGGCGATTGTGAAGTGGGGGAAGTAGCAGCAGAAGAGGGAATACCAAGACGGCCGGCTGCTTTGGCACTAATGGATTGTGGTATGGGGGACAGGAGGCTCTCTCCACTGGAACGGTCGCCTTTCTTGCCCTTGTTCTCGATCTTGTCCCATTCAACAGCAATCCACTGCTTGAGGACTTTCCCTTTCTTCTTCTTCAGGCTCTTGCTGTCTGCGCTCGACACCGACGCTTGATCAGGATCTGAACCAGAGCCTGAGCCCAAGTCTGAATTTGGCGCAGGAGGTGCAATGGCGAGAGTCATCGCCGCGACTCTCTGGGCGTTGTATCGGCCGAAAATATGATCCAGAACTTCCTGAATGTTTCTTCGTTGGTCTGTGCGGATCTTGTACTTGCTCCAGAGCATATCGACGAACAGACCCTCGAGATCTTTCGCATTGGATTCATGTCTGGTCCATTCTGACGTAGCATCGTATGCCGGTGATTCTTCTTCGTCCTCGGATAGGGAGCTCCGTGTGCTCTTGAAGTCGTCATCGTCCTCGTCATCCGAATCGCTGTCATCAAAGTCGATGTACGAATGACAGCGGGAAGGAGAGACGCTGGCGGCGGCCGGCGAAGCTGGAGCGCGTTCCAAAGGTTTCACGGTTGGGAATAAGGCTTGATCATCAATCAATTCTAGTCGCCCGCCGGGCGCCAAAACTCTCATGACTTCCATGAGAACCTCTTCCCAATTCTCAAGAGGGATGCACAGAGACAGGTTTGCCATCCGCACAAGGTCGAATGTGTCACTAGGGAAGCCTAATCGGTGCCCGACGCTGAGTAATATTAGTAAGTAAAACAGGATCATGTGAAAAACGCGCGTACTCACAAGTTCATTTGCCTCCATTCTACATTTGATGGCGCAGCAATGCCGTCATTTAAGCTTGATGGAGCAATCAAGTCAATACCAATTATCCTTGCTCTCGGCCAATGCTTTGCAGCCCTAATGGCCCAATGTCCTGCACCGCATCCCACATCAAGAATAGTGGTAGGCGGGTTACCGTTGAATGTAAGAAACGACGGCGTCCCATTGGTGCTGAGACGTTGCAACAGAACATCTGAGAATCGATCGCTGTGATGGTAGTTGTCAGCCCCCGAGCACAGGAATACCGTAGCAACATAGCTCACTTGTCAAGAAGGGTACGGTCGTAGGCTTGCATGTAAGGAGCTTGGTGGGGAGGATAAGGATGATGGATCATGCCTCGTCTTGTGGCGAAGTGATTCTTCGCCTGAAATGCTTTGGCAGGGGAGTGCGGCCCCTGCATGAATTCGACATCTTCGTCTCCGTCACTAGATGAATCTGGGACAGTACTCGTGCTCGCACTGTAGCACGAAGTCGTAGAAAATGATTCTGAGGCGTCACTTGGTGACTTCTTTCTCTTCTGAAGAAACGCTCTCCTGGGCTTGGACGGATCCCATGACAAGGCGCGATTGATGGAGGTGAGAGGTAGGATCACATCTACGTCGGAAGGGGTGAGGTGTTTTCCCAAAAACCTGCGCTTTCGGATAGAATCTGCATCAGGAGTGCGGTCCCATGATGCTGGCGTATCCAGAGTCAACACTGCTGAAGGAGCTGGGGCGACTGCAAGAGCCGGTCGGGGCGTAAGAGCTGTTTGAGAAGGTGTAGAATGACGGTCGCGGGGTCAAAATTAAGCTTTCGGACGAGGAACACTCGCCGAGAGAACAAGGCTCAAAGGGAGGAAACGGTCGCGATGAAATTTCCGAAGCCATGATGTGTAGGCCGGAACAGAATTAATACGACAGCGATTGTGGTCAGTCAAAGCGATTGTGGCCAGCATAGGCCTTTGTGGACTGCTAGAAGGGAATTGTCCACTGTGGAAAGCACTGAGGACAAAGGGAATGAGTTGAAGGGTAAAGCGCAGTCTATAAGGGCAGCAAGAACCGGATTGGGTGTGGTGGTCGTTGGAGGACAGGATAGTGGTCCTTGACAGAAATTCAAATGAGCACCGCGGCGGGTTGATGGTGGGGAATTGTAAAGAGCTGATCAATCCCGGACTAGAATATGTAATCATATTAGCTGTACCTTGTTCACCTCGCCGGACACCGTGCGTTAGGGTATCTAGTAAATTTCCGATGCCTGATCTCATCAGGGAACAATGGCTGTGACAACTCAAAGCTAATATCCAATTTTGGTAATTTCTCGATTCCAAATTAAGTAAGCTTCCGCCGGTTATCCTTCATGGAAAACTACCGAAAAGGCTTGAAGAACAAGGACATGAGCTTAACGGGCACAACAACCAGCACGGCTGCTACTCATGTACTTCCACTCCGTGCTTTCATTTTCTGCGTAAAACCGCACTAAATCATGATCAAACCAATGTAGTCAAGCTTCCTGTCACGGCTGATTTCAGCGTCAACTACCAAAGCGATGTCTAGTACAGCAATAACCCCTCGCGGATACTTGCGTTCCGTCCGTGACGGCAGTTTCTGCGCCCAGCAGGTTGGATTATTCCTACTTTGAGATCAAAGTGATATGGAGGCAGCACCTCGATCAGACGTAATACTAAAACATACTGCCTGCCAAGATCACATGTTTTCCCCATAATCACTCCAAGATAACGGAAGGAGCCAGGATCATCTCCACGATCCTAGAATTAGTTGTCGCTAAATTACCAACTCGAGCAGGTGGTGCGGACGTGACGACTGTCGAGACAAATTCACTATGGAAATACCCGCCACATCACCAAGAGCATCCCTCAATGCTGTCATTTTCGTAGCACTTGACGCCGAAGTAACCTGTCCAATCAACAAGGTTCCTGGTCGACTCGCCTAGATAAGCTTAGCATTTTCCTAAAGCCACAACGGAAAATCTCCTACCGGAAGCCGCCTGACACATTCAGTGACAGTAAAGGGTCCTCTTACCTTTGGTGAGTTCAATTGAAGGGTCTACACCGTTGACTCAAGCCAGGGTTCACGACGCATGGGGATATCTCGACAGCATAACAGCGGGTCCTGATTGAGTGCAGGAGACATTGTAATTATGAACACATCTCTTACAAACTAGAACGTCGTCAGATCGTAAGCACCAACGAAGGATAGGTAACCTGTGACGGAAAGGGACTCCGCATGAATACAATCCCTGTACCTGACGGAGGAACGACAAAAGGGGCACCGCAGAAAGTTCAATCTTCGTCTTTCTTGGGAGGGGGCCCGCAGGGCTGGAGCATTCGCTAATGAATTTTTATCAGATCATGATCCGAGTTCTAAGAGTAGGCTGACATACTTCTGTCATCTCGAACTTCGTTCGGCCGATAGCTTCTCCGTCTGCAAGTGCCAGATACGAAAGCAAAGACGGGTGTCCTACAATAGAAGACAGCGTATCTCTGTGTTGATGTGTGACCCAGTCACTATTATTGCATGCTCAGAATAGGTTGTACAGATTCAAATGCTTGGCGTACTATTTCGTCAAGTCTGCGTGACCTGAAGACGTGAAGGAATATCAGAAACGAACTACTGAGATATTAAAAATGGAACATACCAGTTCCTGTGTAACGAGCGTGTACTGAAAGAAGGTCAAATAAATTACAGTGAATGAGAAGCAGCGCTCACAATGCTCCAATTGCGTGTTGGCAGTATACCTGAGTTCAGAGGACTAGCATAAACCAGTCAGAATAGTTAGATTGTGGTACCGACGAAACTCACCATGATCGTTGAGAGAAAAGGAGTTAATTTGGTAATTTCACAATTAGATATTTGATTTATTTTTTTCTCCACGAGATATGTCCACGGACCACGGATTACCGTTACTCGGACGCGTCGAAGAAACACTTTTAATTGGTCTGGCTAGCTCACGTTCTACAGAAAAACTCACGGTCTATCTAAAAGCATGGCTTCCGACGAGGACAGACTACGCGCCAAAGTGGCAAAACTTAACGCATCTCTCGATGAGCTCGAGACTCAGCTCGACCCTCTATTCACCAAGAGCCTTCCCGAGACTCTTGTAGCCCTCGAAACCATTCAACAGGCCAAACTGCAAGTGGTCCTTCCATATGTACTATACGACCTTGTATTCGGTGCGTATGCATCGTTGAACACTAGCTAGCTTCTCTAATTCTGCCACTCGCATACAGTATACCTGAAAACACGAGGAATCGATCCCAAGACCCATCCTGTTATCGGTGAACTGGTGCGCTTGTCTCTTGCGGCATAATTATAACTCATCTGATGCTCGCTTCAGGATCGCGTCCGCCAATACTTTGACAAAATCAAGAGCGCAGAAGATTCCGAAGAGAAAAGCAAGGATCATTTCTGCCTAACGTTGATTCTCATGCTAAATATCCCATCCGTTTTTAGAGAGGCTTGGTATTGATAAAGCAGCTGCTAGCAGATTTATTAAACACGCCATCGCCCAAGCAAAGCTAGTAAAAGCTGAAGAACCAAGCAATACGGCACATGAACCTGCTTCTAGTAGCAGTGAACGGGTTCCAGTAAAAATTACCAGTAAAATGGCGGAGCGTGCAGAGTACGAGAAGAACCTGAAGGAATTGGGAAGTGAAGAGGAAGAGGATCTCGAAGTATTTGTTGAGGCTGAGCTGTCGGGCAACGAGGACGCGATGGAAGAAGAAGCATTACCGCTGCCACCACAGGACAAGGGGAAATTACGAATGGTTGAAAGAGAAGTCCCAGAACATGAAGAACAAGTAGGTGGGAGACGGAAGCGACAACGGATAGATCCTTTCGCAGCCTCAGGTAAGTCTTGACCGTGACCTTTTTCGTAGTCCCGCTAGAACCCACCCATTCGCAGGATACGGAGATGATGATCGCAGTCATTCCTCAAAGTCCGAGAAACCAAAGAAGCAGAAAAAGAAGTCGCCCGCATCTGCCTTACCCATAGCAGATAGTGTCTCGGCTACCCAGACACCAGATCAGTCAGGGCAATGTACTCCTTTATCAGCAGCCGACGAAGCGCAACAACGAAAAGCAGGAAAGAAAGCAAGACGGAAGGAGAAGAAGTCGTCAAGTTAACACCAGTCACGTATTGGACCACTATCTCCCAAGCCCTTCTCTCATTCTACACATCATGATCTGGAATGATACAGTTAACCTACTCGTGAACAACAACAACAGGGAAAAATATCAGTAATACATCGAAGAAGGCTCGTTACGTGGGTCATGTGCACAATCAGCTTTGTAAAACAGATCAAAAATATTAAAGCGTACAAGTATAAGGCTGCTATGTTATAACACATCCCCCTCGGTCACTGACTACCCCATCTAGGGTCTCGGTATCAGGTGAACGCCTCCCACTACTGGGAGACCACCATCGCGTGCGTCCCGCAGTTTGGGCAACGTCCTCAAGATTATCTGACGGTCCGTTACCAGCACGCCGGGAATTTCGCCGATGCCGCTCCCGCGCAGCTCGAACAGCGTCCACAGTTTGCCAATTATAAAACGACTTCAACACGATGCGCTTCTCATCGCACTCATCCTGCCCTACTTTCAGTTCTTCCTTGTCCTGACCGTCCAGGTACGCGAGCTTCCGTGCATCCCAGGCACGCCAGCCTTTGCGAGGGCGGGTTATCGCAGCAACATCCTTGACGGAGGTCTCACCCACAGCCCGGCAGTCGATAGCAACCAGGGTTGCATCGGACGCATTATGTTTGTGCGCCTGTCGCACGAACTCTTTGAGGACAGTCCCGGATATGCACGTGCTATCTGCCCCCAACACCCTAAGGCGAGGGCAATTGCAAATGAGAGAAAGGAAGGCCTCGTTGCTGAGGCTGACAGCAAACGACACAACCAGGTGTTCCAACGCTTGCCCTGTCTGCGGTGGCTGTGTCGGCCCTGATCCGGTGCTTTCTGGAGGACTGGGGGTCAGTGCACTCAGGACGGCGTCAGTGATCTCCTCGTTATCCTCAAGATCAAGCTTTCGGAGAAGTGGCGTGGTTCCCAAAAGCCTCACAAGCCCCTCGTCTTTCATCGCCGTCCCAATGCCTGCTAATTCCAACAACTCCAGACGCGGCACTGCATACGCTAGATTGGAGCATGCGACGTCTGTAAGCAGCCTGCAATTCGAAAGTGACAGATGTCTGAGCTTCGTGATTCGCCTCCGGTAGCACCCATTATCGCGCACTTCTCGCCCCGCCTCACGCGCAGTCAGCACCACGCTCTCCGTTGACTTCTCCTCTTCTGTACACGCCACAAAAGCCCCTAACGCCGAGTTGTGCAGAGAACGAGAATAGCTCAGATCGAGGATTTCCAACGAGGGCGCCGCTCTGCCTAAAACTCTCAGGGCCTCGTCGAATATACCCTCCAATCCACATAGCCTGAGCTCTTTCAGCGCAAGCTGGCCGTGACGCCCTAGTACGGCATTTGCATATCTGTGAAGTCCGTCTCCGCTGATATTGGAACACCGACTCATGTTCAGGGATGTCAGGTGGGGGCAAAGCGCGAGAACATCGAACGTAGTGTTGTCAACGGCCTTCAACCCTTTGACGCACAGACTGCGTAGAAACGGAGAATGGATGACGACGTTGTGTAATGCCTGCGTAGTCAGGGCATTGCACCCTGACAGGTTTACGTCCAAAAGTTGTGTATATGCGAAGTCAATGGTTGGCGCGGAGCGTACACAGAGGCTCGTCGTGACTTGACCCAGAGTGCCGTGATCAAGCTTTGTGTATCCGGTAAGATCTATATTCTTGATGAATGGCCCAAGCGTCTCTGCAAGGCGCAGAAGGAAGGGCACCGGAAGGTTTGGAAATGCCTTGAGGTCGACATCCATCCACAGTTGACCATCAAAGATCAGTGAGCGCCACGCCTTTGACACCTAACACACAACATGCGTCATTGCAGATACAGCAACACCATGCACATCATTCTTACCCTGCTCAACTTCACCAGCTCGCGCATCCCACGATCTCTGCCCACCCAACGGTACTTGGATGAGGATGCCTTTGAGGTAGTCCATTGTCCCGACGACTTCCACAGCTGAAATTCGTCTTCGTGCAGGGAAATTAGGGCTGAGAATATCTGCAGCTTCAGTTCTCTGGGTAAAGCGTCATCAAAGACACTTTGCAGGACTAAAGGCACGGGGGCAAAGACGTCACTGTTGCCACGAGGGACGATGTCAAAGACAGACTGAGAGAGTGGAGAAGAATATGAACGGCCTTTGCCTGTGATGCTATTGGGGCTTTCGGGACCTTCAGAGCTCTGTTGAACATGTGTTCGCGCGTCTGATGGAAGCTCGAGGTTCAGACAAGGCTGAAACTCGGGATTTTTCCATGCTGGAAGACAATTACGTTGCCCTGCTGTTGTTAGGTCCCCTAAGAAAGGATCCGACACAGAGCCGGCAGGGCTGAGATCTACCGATGTTGTGGCTGCACTAGCCTTATTCCTGAACAATAATCTACGCGCAAGGTTACCTGTGCCCTTGGATGCTGAGCCCAGTTTAACTTTGATCCTTGACATGGATCGAGCAGCTAACGAACGCGTAGAATGAATTGACAGGTTGGACAATGATCGCCTTCGGGAGGGCACTCTTGTCAGTCCCGGAAACTGTTGTGCACTATTCTCGGGGGACTGGGAGTCTGAGTGAGAGGACGCGCAGGGAGGCGAGCTGTGGGTTGAACCGTAAGAGGAAGACCCCGCAGTTGGGGCTGGCGAACCAGGATCAGGGGATGGCCAGTCAATGGCACGATATTGCACGTCGCTCGTGGAGAACAGGAGAGGAGGCAACGTGTAAGCTAGATCCTTTGCTTTCCCTTTGCCGGGCAATGAGGCATTCATAAATACACAATCATCACTACTCGATGATCCGGCGAGTTGTATATCGCGATCTTCTGGACCCAAAATGCTGATCTTATCTGGTGATAATGATATTATGTTGTGTTCCCCTGTAATGGAAACGAATGGTAATTGAGAAGATGATGAAGTACCCTCGAGAGGTGACTCGATGGTAGGCGGTAATGTCACTGTCACAGAGGGATCACGACCGAAAGGTGCTGGGATGGGCATCGGTAATGAGGGACCTTTGCCCTTGCCCAGCATGGCACTAGGCTCTGGATCGTTCTGTCCGCCTGGTTCCATGTGTGGATTTCGCAGGATGTCAAGATTAGATGGGGCGTCTGTAATGCGGACGGCGATTGATGAAGGATACGAACACAAGTTGAAGGAAGAAAGGAACGAACCTTGATCGCTACTCTCGGCCAGTTCAAAAGGATCGAAGGAGAACAACACATCCTCGTTATCAACGCGAGGCGCTTGCTGCATAAGTAATGTGGATACAATTGGAGGTGATAAAGAGATATAGGCTGACAGAGCAGATGGAGAGAAAGATAAGAGAGACAGAGGACAGAGAGAGAGAAAGAAAAGCGGAAAACGGTGTTACAGGACGACAAGAGACTTAACTTGATGGGGCGCCTAGACTGGCATAGTACGGAGTTCATCGGAACATTGGCTCAGGGGCTACACGATGACCCACGCGTGGCTTTACCATACAAAGTACGTCATTTCCACGCTCAACATCGTGCACGACGACAACAGCCGCTCCATCCGATAAATTGAACTCGCTTAGGCTTTCGATTCATTTAATGGCCAGCAGAATCTCTGAGGCAACCTATTTCAACCGCTTTACTTATTTTAGATGGCGTCCGGTTTTCAAGCAAGGCAACAACTTACCACAAGTCCATGTGAATATGTATCGGTCTGTTCCAGCAAGGCTTTCCGGCACGCCAGGTGTCGTGTCATAATATCATCGTACGTGGTTCAAACGTTCAACGTTCAAGCTTCAAGCGTCGCATCCCAATCTGAATGTTTAAATGCTTAGCGCGGCGAAAACATAAACACTCGACGCACGACCCAGGAGAGCAACAAATAATTGCGATGCAAAGTCAACTAGCAGTGTGAATACGGTGAAAATTAGTAGCAACACTAAACAGAATGACAACGAAGACCCTAAACAGCACAGAATTCAGAGGGCTACAGAAAGAATGACAGGCGATATGAATAATACTCGGCGCAGCTTAACAGTCAAATGTAAACGACGGAAGCGAGCGGCAATAAACAAACAGGAGGCAAAGGAACGAGGAAAGCGCAAAGCAGTAATCGATCGTAGCGATGGGGGTCACAGTAATATAGGAATCATGTAGCAGCCCTCGGGTTTTCTTTGGCTGTCTTCCAGTTGGACGTTGCTAATTTGAACCTATAGATTGATGCATTAGCAGACAGACCTAGGCGAGGAATAATTAGCCTACCTGTCTTGGTGAGACATGTCGGGTTCCTCCTCCTTCAACCGAGCCATTTCAGTTTGCATGAATTTGTTGAACGCGCTGAGTTTCTTCCTTCCACCGAAGCCAGATGACTCTATGATGAAAATAAACAAATAAGCGATCAACTACGTATTTGATGACGACGGGGACATACTGGTCTTTTTGGCGGGTTTCTCAGACGCGGTCTTCGATTCTGTCCGGGGGGGCATGATTCAAGGTAAGGACAAGCAAGTCAGGTGTATAAGTGAGAAAACGCGGTTGATGCGAACTCGTTGAGGACGCTGATAAAAGGGGCAGTGCACGGTTCAAGCCGCAAGCTAGCTAGAAGGCCTCATTAATATTGAGCTAGGACAATAATCGGGTCAGCTTACCGTTGAGATCGGCAAAAGTTGAAAGGTGTGTGTGGAAAGGGGACGTGGGTGTGGTCTGTTGAAGAGAGGAAAAAGTTCATATTGGCTCGAGTTTGCGGACCTTTTTCTTCGTAAGTTGTTGACCCGCCGGGGGAGGGCTCGCGCCAGACGGACCCCGGTCACTAAGTTGACGTAATAATAACAACGAAAAAAAAGTATTCAAGAAGAAAGTTGCTCGCCACAATGTGAACCCTGCAGCTGGTGCACTTGGCCATCGAAAAAACCAGTTCTTTGGGCTTGTCAACTGTCATTTTTCAGTTACCATCCCCATGAGCAAGTACACACGTTTCCTGCCAACTTAGAGTTGAGTTGAAATCTCGTTAGGCTGTCGCAATTCGGCTACTGTGATAGTAACTGTATATAGTTGAGAAGAGTCAGAAGACCAAGGATCAACTCCACCAAGTACCAGGGGTCCGGCAATTCAATAGGCAAACAAACGCGTCGCGTCGCTGTTGATCCAAGTCTGGGATACGAGATATCCACACTCGTATCCATGTTTCTAAGCAAGTTCCACATTATTTCTTCCCTAAGGCAACCCCAATGATCCTTTTTTTAGACTCAATTCTTCCTGTATCGATCAGCAATATGTACGAGATGCGTGCTAGACGGCGGAAGACATGTAGACCTTCTTAGCCCTAGATCAATGTTTACACTAATAGGTGTTCACGTCCTTGGTCGCAGAAAGGTTCTTCCCAGTGCTTGCAATGCTATCGATTAAGCTATTCCCGCTCACAATCCCCGTAGTCACAATGAGGAATTTACGACCTGCCGAAAAGTCAACACCATCGCTACCCTCGAGTGCAATAGAATGGTACCTTTATTTTGTCGGCTCACCCAACGAAGGGCGGCAATCTCAGTATACGTACATCCACCCAGGAAAAATACGGCACTTGTGGTCGTTTGCTCGTGTGGATGCACTATTTGGGTATTCATGTCAGCATAGCGGAGTGCCTGTAAATGGTACCGACCCGGAGACTTACTCAAGGAAGCAACGGAAGAAGCTGTGGAGTTGGTAGATACAGGCACCTTCTGCGCAATGTCAAATGTCTTTCCCGGGATCGTACCTAACACGTCCTCAAAGCCTTTCCAGCCCACGATCGGATGCGCGTGGAGTTTTCTGGCGCTGGACCCTTTGCCCTTGGCATCTCCGTCGTCTGCACTGCTCTTCTCTGCAGGATTACTTATGACTCCACTCTTCTGGGCAACACATTGTACCAGCCGGATACTAATAGGTGCGTATCCAGAGTATGTATAACTGATGTCATTTTCAACTTCCTCCAGTGCTTCAGGGTTATCATCAATAAGAAGTCGGAGTGATTTGCGTAGGGTTGTGAAGGGGTATTTGTTTCCCGCGACAACAGGAGCAGCGGAAATTGGGAGGGGATTGGGTAGTAGAACAGCCAAAGGGGGTGTGGCCAGCGAGAGAAGCAGAGGAAGGTAATTATACCCGTAAGCCTGTAAGATGGATCGTGAGCTTCACAATAAGCACGGAAAAAACCGAGTGAGATTACTTGGAGAAGCTCGCGTTTTACACTGTCCAAAGATTTGGCCTTGATTCCACCATTAGTAACGCTGGCGAGGCATAACAATCGCACGATAGTCTGCATACTTGCACCCTGTGCAATCATATCTTCGATTGCACTAATCTGAGCTGAGACCTCGTACGATGCCAGAAGATCTATTTTTGGACATCAAGTTTCAAGGGGGGTGTTTCATGAGCAAATGTGCTTACTCTGCTGTACTTCAAGCGATTTATTAAATAACTCCGTGCGTGTCTTCAGAGAGAGCATCTCCGATAGGCCAGTATCTTTGCAGAGAAATGAGAACACCCCCTAGAAAACAGGAAAAAAGTTGCCCTCACGAAGTCTCAGCGCCTGGTGTTCACCTTGAAGACCACCAAGTTTTCCAACAAAGTCGCGAAGCTGCGCAACGGTCTTCGCCTGTAATCGAGCCTTTTGTCTGTCAATAACCGTATCACGGCAAGGTGTGGAAGCACACACTTTGTAGTCTTCATCTAATCGGTGCGCCACTTTGCTAAGTCTTTTTCCCACCGATGAAAAGTTTAAGTCACGCAGCTCAGCCAATAGCGGGTCTGTGGAAGTCGAGAGGTGGTGTTTCTTCGTTTTTTCATTCAAAAGTGGAGTGACAGATGCAGATCCTGATGGGGTGGCGTTGGGATTTGAGGGGTTAGGTACAGCGGGGAGGGTGAGGAGGCTAGCTGGTAGTTCAACATGAGCTACAAATATGTCAATACGGATCACGTTCTCGCATCTTGTAGATAGCTGCTCACAGTTCTTGAGACCAATAAACTCATCGATGAGGCCTTCATACGTGAGCTGGGTCAGAAGCGGTGTGATCATATCAACGGTGCGGTCGATGATAATGAGCGAGTCAAACGGTGCAGAAGGCATCGAGGAGTCTGACAAGGGAGAGGGTTGATCAGGTAGCGATTTCGTAAGAAGGGTTGCCAGCCGCTGTGCAGAATGGTTCTATCTGGAGCTATGCAGGAATATGGAAGAGCATACCGAGGCATAGTCTCCCTTTCCTAATATGCGAGGGAAGCGACCGTACACCTTCTGCAATGAGTTGAGTGCTAACGCAGAGTTATAGATCACGGTTTCGTCACCATCCTGAATGGACTGAGCTACACTATACTGTTAATATGTGGATGATGTACATACCACCCATAACTCCTTGAACGCGTTATCGTTCTCGAGCGAGATGACATCGTCCGCAATTGGAATGAACTGCAAGTTGTAGGAAGATATGGTAATATCGCCGAGAACGCCCTCTTCCTCAAGTATCCTTGATACTAGAGTAGAGATGCGAGGTACGAGGAAGAGTGTATATCTGTGCTTTTGCGACTCTCGAATATGGGCTTTGACCTGATCTGCATGCACTGAGTCTACTGTACGACCGTACACAACAGGGAAATTCAGACCTGCAATAATCTTGACGTACTTGATTAGCGGGCGACAGAGGTACACGACATTTGTTGTCGTCGGGGTCAATGGGCCTGGCTCAAGCCAGAACATTTTGTCCACGCCATGATGCTAATAATGAAGTGAAATACACAATCAACATCGTAACAGTGCAAATAACTACCTTCAGAAGTGCGACTTCTGTGACCAGTCCCAAAGGCCCCGCAAGAGTAGGGTCAAGCACTAGTGTCTTCGCGCCATTTACCTGTACAGAATGAACCTTCAGTTCACTTGAAACAGGTGTACGGGTAGCACAGGGCGCACCGCGTTTAAAGTGTCGATCAAGGCCTTTCTTGCCGTATCCTTGAGCAACTCTACGTCCAACCTGGGCTCGTTGTCTCGCTCGGTCCCATACGAGGCCTGCGCGTCAGACGTCGATGCAGACGCGGCTGCCATGTTGTGGAGAACGTACAATGACACAGCCACCCAGGGCCACTAAATTCTTCGGCCCGTAAGTCTCCTGGACTTGACGTTTTAGTCTTCCTTGACAAATTCAACCTACCTAAAGGGTTACGTCTTTTGATCAAACGTTCCTGCTCATCTGATCCCTGAACGCATTGACTAACAAGCTGAATCGCGGACGCTCTTCAAAGAGCTGGCGTCAACATAGTACGGACATCGTCCATCATGGAGCATACCTCCAATTCACCAGAACACGATGGAATACATCCTCTCCTCTCCCTCCTCTCTGCCTTTTTCTGGGTAATATGTAGGCCAATGTTCTTCTGTTCACGTGTGTCAGATGAAGCTCATGGTACGGTATTTCGGTAGTATGGTTCCTATCATGGGCAAAAGCTTTGATAGCTTTTTCCACTATCACCATCCCCCGTCTCATCTACTTTGCTCTGTCCTATTCCATGACATTAACAGTCAGTGTTTCCAAGATTGCTGCTTGAAATATGAATCGCTTACACTCAATCAGCTAAATTTTTGGTCATTTGCCATCATGTTTCTGGCTTCGGCAGTTGCTTTGAATTATTGGATACGCCTTCGATACCTCAACACGTACTCCTCACTGAAGGAGCCACCATTGGTGAAACCCGACGTGAATGCACTTCACCCAGATGTGAATACAACAGAGCCTCCCCCGGCTTTTCACAACTACTTGGACGATTTCCTGCAAGCTGTCCGGGTCTTTGGATTTCTCGAGAAGCCGGTGAGTAATCTGCATCGTCTGCATTGATCGATCCATCATAGTTTAACAGGTATTCCATGAATTGGCGAGGCATCTTGCAACGAGACGCTTAATTGCCGGGGATAGTATCTCTCTGGACGAAGACAGGAGCTTCTATTGCGTCGTCGATGGCATGGTCCAGGTATACGCTCAGACAGGCCAGAATAATTGCCAAAATGGGTCATGGGACGAGGAGGATATGAACGGATACCAGCTTATCAATGAAGTTGGGAGCGGTGGAACCTTATCTAGTTTATTCAGCATTCTCAGCTTGTTCACTGAGCACATAAAGATAAGCTGGCAAGAAGATGGTCATCCTGATGCTCTTGGAGGAAATTCTACAAGTGAAGAGGGAGGACGACCTCAATCACGTACTCGCCGCGCGGATTCCGACGTGTCTCGCTTTAGCCTGGACTACGCATCTGCGACTTCCCGGCCTTCTCGGGCTACATCTATCTCGTCGTCTGGTTCCACCGCTCACCCCGCAGACGCGACTTCCCCCGTTCGCCCGACGTCCCCGTATCACATTGGAGACAGGTTTAGGTCGCCGCTACGGCGCGCTTCCCGCTCTCGATCAGCTTCTAACCCTACAACTCAGCTCCACCATGGTATCGTGGCAAGGGCAAAGGAAGACAGCACATTGGCCTTCATCCCTGCAGAAGCATTTCGCAGAGTTGCAAAGAAGTTTCCCAAAGCCACCAGTCATATCGTACAAGGTATAATTTCTGTGAGATGGAGTTCTTACTTTTCTCATTATATCTTCAGTAATTCTGACGCGCTTTTCGCGTGTTACCTTCAACGCGGCACACAGATATTTGGGGTTAACGACAGAGGTCCTTCGAACTGAGAAGGCCATCAACGAGATTGCATGTCACCCTCTTCCGGCATCATTCTATGAGGGCGGTGGTCTACAATATCTACGTCAACGTTTTGACGACGTCGCAATTCAGGGGTCTG